ACGCGCGCTGGGCGGGAGCCGCCGCGCTTCGGTGCCTCGGCGGCCGTCGCGCTGCGGACTCCCGCGCGCCCGGGAGGCGGCCGCGACCGCCCGCGAGGCGGCCGCGATTGCTCGGCGAGTGCCGTCCCGCCGCCGGCTCTGAGGCGGTCGCCCGCCTCGACGGAGATGCGGCGCACCTTCTCGTCGCAGCGCATCGGGCTCTTTCACCGGCGGCGGTGGCCCCACTGGCCATCGCTCGGACGTCCATTCCCTGTGTTTTTGTTCGGCTTCGTGCGTGGTTTTTTCGCCAAATGATCAAGGATGCTCCTCGATGGTCCTCGCCGAAAGAAACATGCACACGTCCGAGCGATGCCAAGCCCAGCAACGCGGCCAGCGTGGACGAGCGAGGCGCCATGCGGCGACGTCGAGCCCCAAGCGCTCGGCTCTGGCCAGAGAGCCGAGCCGACGAGGTCGCACATGACAAGCTCGTAGCTGGAGCCGCCCGGCCGCGCCTGGCGTGGTTCGGGCACCCGCCGCGCGAAGCCGACGACGGCGCCGGCGGCGCGCAGTGTTCTCCCTGCGTTTCCCAGGCACGCCGTGGCATGCGCGGCGCGCTGGCCGAACACCTCGCCGCGCTCCCGCGCTGCCTCGCGGCCGCCTTCGACGGCAGCTGCGCGCCGCAGCCTGCAGGCGGCCCACAGCGGGACGAGAGCGGCGCCCGGGTGCCTCAAAAAAAGGCCGCCTGCTTGAGCGACGAGCCGGCCTGCATCCACCGCGCGCGTTTCATGGCAAGGCTTGGTCAGGAAGGTCCTCCTACAGGCGGGTCTCGGAAGAAAATAAAAAACAATTGACAAAACCTTCAGACAGACAAAATAGATAGAATCGTCACCAGACCAGTCGCGCACTGTTCTGGAATAGTCCTCCTGTAGAGGGCCGCCCAGCTTACGGCAAGACAGAAAATGCGACCAGCGCGCGAAATCAGGTCCCTCTGGCGCCTGTCGCCGTCCGCAGTGCCACGCCAGAGCCGCGCGGCCCGCAAGGTGTGGATGCCTCGGATCGGGGATCTTCTGACCCGGGTCAATCCAGACCCGGGTCAATCAGGCCGTGCAGGATCCCGCAGGATCCTGCAAGATCCTGCATCCACACCCAGGTCGATGCGAAGGATCCTGCAAGATCCTGCAGGATCCTGCACCCAAGCCCGGGCCAGTGCGACCCCTGGCCCCGCACGGTCCTGCAAGATCTGGCGCTCTGGCTGACCCTCGTTTGCATCGACCCCCGTCTCTGGAGCCCCGACGTGCGTTATGGGCGTTCGGCCATCTGGGGGCCCATCTGCGCCCGCACCAAAGGTCACTCCGGCGAAAGGTCACTCTTACGTCTAGTCGAGCGACGAGCGGCCCGCCAACCAACATGCTCCGGCCTCCACCCCCGCGGTGAGGCCAAGCCCTGCCCCGGCACGACGTCCAACCCGGGAGCTCGAAGCCGCGACTCAGCCACGCTGGCCAGCTCGGCGTCGCTGGCGTGGTGCAGCGGGCGTCCCGGAGCGGCTTCGAGGCGCCGGACGTCCCGAACGTCAGCAGACCAGCAGCGCGCGACGAAACTCGCGTCGGCCTCGGCCTCCGCGGGGAGGCGGAGTCCCCTGCCCGCTGAGGCACGGTGCCCGCCGCGCTGCCTCGACGTCCGCCACGTCCAACGGGAACCTCCCGAGCACGCCAATCACCCCTTTTTTTTGGCTCTACGCCGCTCGAAGGCTCCTGGAGCAGAAGCCAGCTGCTGTGAGCAAAGCACACGTGGAGTACGAAGCTGGCGCAGAATCGCATATCGCAGTGTAGAGACGAGTGGACCAGGATGGCCCACGCCGGGCGCGCGCAGAGCAGCACACGGCCTCGGAGATCTGCTCTGCTTGCGCTGCACGCGCCAGGGCGGGGCCTTGCACGGGCATGGCGACTGCGCGGGCGAACGCCTTCGACTGGGACCGCCACCCCCGACACGGGAGTGCGCCCTGTGTGCCCCGCGCACAACGCGGCCTCGCCGAGCCAGGCGGGCCTCTGAGGCGGCGAGCTCGGCGTCGACAGGCCCCGCGCACGGAGCGATGCACCAGTGGTGATGGCGGTGCCGATGACGGTGGCGATGGCGACGATGCTGGCAGTGATGACGGTGGCGATGATGAGGCTGGCTTCTTGTGGCCGCCAGTCGGGCAGAGCGGGGAGGGAGGGGGAGAGAAAGAAAGAGGAAGAGGGAGAGGGAGGGAAGGAGGGGGAAGAGGGAGGAAGAGGAAGCAGAAAAAAAGGGGAGGAAGAGGAAGAGGGAGGGGGAGGGAGGGGGAGAGGAAGAAAGAAGAAGAAAAAGAAGAAGAAGAAGAAGGAGAAAAGGGAGAAGAAGAGAGGGGGGGCCTGCGGACACGCAATACTCCCGTGCGCCCGGCGCGGGCCAGGATGCCAAGGGCCGCGGCCGCCCGCACTGGCGCCGCGCGCCTCTCGGCGAGGAACTGCTCCGCGCGCTCTTCGAAAACGTCGCCCGCAGCTGTGCTTCCCGCGCCGCCAACCGCCAGCGGCCCGGTTTACACCGCCATGGACTCGAGCGAGAGATCCCCCTTGTGGGCGGCCCCCGCTGTCGCGTTCCCTCATTCATTCTCCCTCCTGCCTCCTCCGGAAGGCAAAGAGGAGGAGGACACCAAGCTGCAGCAGGAGAGGCAGGCACTCTCTCGATTCTGGTGATGCTCTTGAGACACGCCTGGCCCTCGCATCCCCTGTGGCTTCTGACGGCGCCTCCAGGGACTTGAGCTGCACGGTATCGTAGAGCTGCTCGAGCTGCGAAAACCTTTCCAGGAGGAAGAAAGAGAGAGGGGGAAAATTTCCATATTCGATTCTGCTCCCTGGGCCCAACTCCGGTTTCCCTCCACCTCTACTCCTCGTCCCGCCCAGCCCACATCCTCCGCTTCCGCCTCCACTACCACATCCTCCATCTCACCATCCTACTCCTCCACAGCATCGTCATCATAGCAGAGTGATCAGCATCAGCGTCCAAAACCTCCATCATCGCCATTGCAATAACCACCACCACCACCACAATGATCATCATCATCATCATCATCATCATCATCATCATCATCATCATCATCAACAACAACAACAACAACAACAACAACAACAACAACAACAACAACAACAACAACAACAACAACAACAACAACAACAACAACAGCAGCAACACCTTCAATATCATCAGTTGTTACCGTAAAAAACAATCATCGTAATTGTCATCAGCAGCAGTAGCACCATCGACCTCATCACCATCACCGTGGCCACCAGCATCGAGAATATCGGCATAGACCTCTACACCGTCCTTTGAATCGTCACCATCATCATTGCCGTCGTCATCAGCAACAATGCCCTCATCGTCATCGCAATCATCGTCATCATCGTCATCGTCGAAACCGGTGTGGCCATCATCGTCATCATCATGATGTACTCCTCTCATTCGGTCTCCCCCTATCTCTCTCTCTCTCTCTCTACTTTCCCCAGTCTCTCTCTCTTTCTCTCTCCCTCCCTCTCTCTCTGTCTCTCTCTCTCTCTCTCTTTCTCCGCCTCTCTCTCTCTCTCGTTCTCTCTCTCTCTCTCTCTCTCTCCCTCTCTCTGCCTCTCTCTCCCTCTCTCGTCTCTCTCTCTTTCTCTCTCGCTCTCTGGATATCTCTCCCTCTGTAAAGATTAGCATACGAACATTGCATATCTCTGCTCCTGCTCCACCTCATGTTCCTCCTCCCCTTTTTTTCTAATTCCTCCAGGTCCACCGTCTCCTCCTCCAACGCTGGTTCCTCCTCCTCCTCCTCCTACTCCTCCTCCTCCTCCTCCTCCTCCCTCCTCCTCCTCCTCATCATCCTCATCATCCTCCTCCTCCTCCTCCTCCTCCTCCTCCTCCTCCTCCTCCTCCTCCTGCCTCCTCCTCCTCCTCCTCCTCCTCCTCCTCCTCCTCCTCCTCCTCCTCCTCCTCTCCTCCTCCTCCTACCTCCTCCTCCTCCTCCTCCTCCTCCTCCTCCCTCCTCCTCCTCCTCCTCCTCCTCCTCCCCTCCTCCTCCTCCTCTCATCATCATCATCACTCATCATCACATCATCATCATCATCATCATCATCATCATCATCATCATCATCATCATTCATGATCATCATGATCATCAGCATCATCATCATCATCAGCATCCTCCTCCTCCTCCTTCCACCTCCCTCCTCCTCCTCCTCCTCCTCCTCCTCCTCCTCCTCCTCCTCCTCCTCCCATTATTCTAGTTCATTTCCTTTCCCTCCCTCCTTCTCCCCCTCCTCCCCTATCCCTTCCACCTCCTTCCTCCCTCCTCTCGTCCAGCCCTCCCCCCCCCCCCTCGCCCCCCGGCTCGGCGCGCGGGCCGGCCAGGGAACTCGCTCCACAGCAGGAAGGTCTTCGAGGGGAAGAGCCGCGCCTTGGCCTGACGGGCGGCGGCGGGGCCGGACCGCGACGGCGCAACTGGGCCAAAAAAGCATCTGATCGCCGAGAGCGAGAGGCGGACTGGAGGCATCTGCCCGCACTCAAGACGCATTCAGGCCGAGGATACACTCGGGCGAGGATACATCGAGTCTCTGAGTTCCCGCGGCTCTGGAGGACGTCTCGAGCGCCACGGCGTTCCCAGAACGTCACGGAACGCTCTGAGAGCGTTCCTGACGCCTCTGAAACGGATGTGTCCTCGTCCTAGCCCCGCCCGAGAATACCCTGTGCCCGCCATCGGGGATCTACTGACCCGGGTCAATGCAGACCCAGGTCAGTCGCGCTCTGCAGGATCCTGCAAAACCCTGCAGGATCATGCAAGATCCCACACGCGAACCCAGGTGAATGCACCCTTGGCTTTGCAGGATCCTGAAAGATCGGGCGCCCTCAAGGCCCACAGACGCCAGATCGATACCTTCCAAGGCCACGGTGGCGCTGTGGCCAGGAAGGGCCGGGCAGGTGAGTAAAAAGGCTATTGCTCGTCGTGGGCGTTAGGGGGGCCAGAAGCAGGGCCTCGTCCTAGCCCCGCCCCAGTACCCTCTGCCCGCCAAATCGATAACTTCCCCGGCCACACCAGCGCTGTGGCCAGGAAGGCACGGGTTAGGGGATCTGGAAGAGGCTGTTGCTCGTTGTGGGCGTCGGGTCTTGGGGGGGGAACGAGGTTCGCACTGCTCCCAGCGCACGCCAGCTTTTGGCGAAGCTGGAGCAGAGTGCTAAACTCGCCAACGCTCGGACCGTGCATGTTTCGAGGTCGGGCCTCGAATTGCTTCGCAAGGTGATCCTAAATGCTCGATGGTTCTTGCCGAGGAAAACGCACACGTCCGAACGATGCCAAGTAAAAGGGAGAACCTCTTCCCTGACAAAGCCTGCTGTGGGGCGCGCGCGACCAGGCGCGATTGGCGTATGGCCGCTTAGTCGCCACCCAAGAGAATACCGCCCCGACGTCTGCAAATTAGCGATTGGCCTGCGACTGACGTGTTCCCATGGGTCTGGGCACAGCGGGAATCCTATGCATGTAGGCGCCAGGCTTCCAGGTTTAAGGTACGACTTCCTTTGCAGTAGTTGCCGCATGCCTTACAAACCCCTCCTTCTAACCTAGCAATCCCGAACGTAACCTGATCCCACCCCTGTCGGCACTGCGCCACAACTAACCTGAACCAATAAAATTAACGGGACAAACGGCTCGGCGACACCGATGTGTCACGCGTGCGCGCTGTAACACATGATGCGCCGGAGCGAAATGGCACAGCAACATGCACTGCAAAAGTGCCAACTGCATCACCAATATTCGGCGCTGAAGCGAAAGCAACTTTCGCAATCGTAGATGCGGATGGCGCTGACCCGAAAGCAACGTTCGCATTCATGGATGTGGCTGGCGCTGGGGCGAAAGGAACTGTCGCAATCGTGGATGTGGTTGGCGTCGAAGCGGAAGCAACTTTCAAAAACGTGGACGTGGCTGGCGCTAGGGCGATGGAAACGTCATTACGGATGTGGACGGTGCTGGGGCGCGAGAAAAACACTCTCATTCACGTTTGCGGTCGGTGCTGAGGCGAAAGCACCGGTCGTAGAGTGGCGATGTGGCGATGTGGCTAGCGCCGTGGCGAAGGTGGCGCTCGCAATCATGGATGTGGCCGGCGCTGAAGCGAGAACTACGTTCGCAATCAAGGATGTGGCCAGCGCTGGGGCGAAAGCGAGAATCGCAATCAAAGATGTGGCCTGCGCTGGGGTGAAACCAGCATTCGCAACCATGGATGTGGCCAGCATTTGGACCAACACGACAGGCGCAATAGTGGACGTGGCCAACAGTGATGCGATAGCATCCGTCGCAATCGTGGGCGGAATGTCCCACTGCACGCGCGCGCTAGCCCTAGCACAACAAGCACTATCACAGGAACGACCACGGCCAGAAGCAGCGGCACCATGCGCAGCAGCAGCAGCAGCAACGACGCAACCAGCAGCAGTAGCGCAAGCAACACAAGCGACACCAAGAGCACCTCTCTGACCTGCACGACGGCAAACAGCACCGCCACGCGCACCAACACCAGCGCCACTATCACAAGTATAACGACCACGACGGGAAGCAGCAGCACCACGCGCAGCAACAGCAACACCGACGCAACCAGCAGCAGTAGCGCAAGCAACACTAGCGACACCATCAGTACCTTTCTGACCAGCTCGACGGCAAAAAGCACCACCACGCGCACCAGCAGCGGCGACACGAACAGCACAAGTACGGCGACCACGACGGGAACCAGCAGCACCACGCAACGCAGCAGAAGAACTACCAGCAACGGCACCGACCGCATCACCAAGCGCAGTCGCACTAGCGCCACCACTAGCACCGCTGTGACGAGCCGAGAACGACGGCACCGCCACGCGAAGTAGCACCAGCGCCACCAGCAAAACATCTGCAACCAGCAAAAATGAGAAGCAACAGATCAACCCGCAGCAGCAAAAACGCAACTAGCACTGCCACACAGCGATAGGCGACTCGCGCAGGATTGCACGAACGCACGCAGATCCCCGCAAGCCAGAGACGCAGAAGCCGCAAAGCGTCAGATTGCCCACGCGCCAAGAAAAGCTTTACCTGGGCTTAGACCGTCGTTAGACAGGCGAGCTCAAACCTACTGATGAGCTCGATACTGCAACAATATACAAAACAGCACGAGAGGAACACTTCGTTCAGATACTTGGTAAGTGCGGCGAGTTGAAAAGCTGGAAACAAAAAACTACCATATGTTGCCTTACGACTGAACGCCTCTGTATCGGAATACATGGTGGCCAACAACTGTTGTTCACCATGCCCACCGTCACACAAGCAGTTGATTTCAGCCCTGTTTCACACGAGAAACAATACAATGGAAGACTGAATCCTCATTCCACATCTTGGAACGAGAACATGTTGCAGACGACTTCATCGAATCCAAGCATTGTACATGCTGAAAGTCGCGTGTGTGCTACCGCCCACTGAGGTCTCAACCAAGCCTGGGGGCACAGACGCCACCAGGTGATGCACTTCGACTAGCACGGGGGGGGGCTGGCCGGCGGTTGTTTTTCCCGTACTCCAGCGCAAAGCGACACGTCCCAGATCTTTCGATTTTGCGCTGGCGGGGACGCCCAAGGGCAGAGCCCACAGCCTGTCCCGCAGGCGACGGCTGCCCACCCCTTGCACCGCAGCCCCTGCGCCCTGGCGGAGATGCGCACGACGGCCCGCAAGGCGTCGGGCACGAGCGGAGCGAGCAGTTCCACTGTGACCAGCGCAACAAAGACCGCATCACTACCAACAGCAGCACCATTTCTCGCGTTCTCGCCTTTCGAATTTCCCAGGCTCCAAGATGGCACAAGAGGCCCCCAAGGCGGCCCAAAAAAGGGCCCAAGAGAGAGAACACGAACACAAAATCTGAACCTTACACCCCAAAAGGCCCCCCATAAGGTCAAGAGGCGCCCAAGAGACCCCTAACAGGCCCGCAAGAGAAACGCAAGAAGCCTCAAGAGGCCCGAAAGAGACCCCAGGAGGCCCCAGACCTCCAAACTCAAGACTGCCTCCAAGAGGCCCCCGAGAGGACTTCGTCGAGATCCCAGCTAACATCTACTTAGGCTTCATACCCACAACCCAGGCACGGTGGCGGGACCCATAGGCAGCTGGATAGCTCATCGGCGTCCAATCCGTACCAACATAATGTATCCAGCGAGACGCACGTCGAATAGCGAAACCGACTGGGGCCTGCGCTGGCACACTACAATGCCAATGTCGAAGAAAGCCATGCAGATTTCTTGTCGACTTGCCTTGGTGGGCGCTCTCTCCGTGCCCGACTGCTGCCAAGGCGGCTCGCGGAGGGCTCCCCGCGGCTCACGCTGCCAACGGCCTCGCGGCGTGCATCTCCCGTGCGGGAGAGTGCACGTGCTGTCGGGGGAACCGACAAGACTACCAGTGCCGCCACTCCCCGGACCTCTCACGGGGCGCGTTCCGACGAGGAGTTCGAGGCGAAGCCAGCGGTGGCGGCGAGGGCCCCACGGGAGCCCCAGAAAACGGGGCAAGCGCGGAGGGGTGGCGGCATGGGCACCTCCTCCTCCCCCGAGGCCTGTAGGCCGCCGAGGGGCTGCTCTGGGCACCCCTCGCGGAGCTCCGCACAGGGGCCGACGCCAGCCCCCCCGGCCGGGGGGCTGCTCTAGAGGTGCCCCTGGCCCCAGAGTGCCCCCAGCATCTCGCTCTCAAAACTGTGGACCCCCTATGGAGCCCTCTGGGCCTCGTGGGGGGTGCGCTGAAGGCCGCCAAGGCGGGCCTCCTGAAGACACAGGGGTGCTGCCGCCTCCACTCTCATCCTCCTCCTCCTCCGCCTCCTCTTCCTCCTCCTCCTCCTCCTCCTCCTCCTCCTCCTCCTCTTCCTCCTCCTCCTCCTCCAGGTGTGTGCAGTGGGGAGTTTGGCCTGTGACGTGTGTGGCTTCGAACTCGGGTCGCGCCATCTGTGCCAGTTTGGTATCCACTATCCATAGAAAAAGAATAATAATAAAAAGAAGGCGAAGAAAACGAAGAAGAAAACAAGAAAGGCAAGCACATAAACGTAAACTGTTGGCGTTCCGCGCGGAGCGCCAAAAGTGTATGCTTATATACTTGTTATCATTCAAAGGTCAGAGATGCCTCGCCCGTGACGGGGACGGCCTCTCCCGCTACCTCCGTCGCGACGGTGCGCCTCTCCCTCGCTCTCTCTCTCTCTCTCTCTTTCCGTTGCCGCTCCGTCTGGCCTGCGGGCTCTCCTGCAGGAGGAAGAGACGGAGGAGGAGGCGGAGGAGGCGGAGGGAGAGGAGGAGGAAGAGGAGGGGGAGGAGGGGGAGGAGGAAGAGGAGGAGAGGGAGGAGGAGCCAGATATGGACAAGGAAAAGGAGGAAGCCACCCCCCTCCGGGCCGCTCGCCCCGGGGATTGGTGCACGCCTCCCGGGCTGGCGCGCGGCCGTCCCTTCTTCCGCCCCGCTGCCGCTGCCTGCTGGACAGTGGTTCTTAACAGGGCCGGGCCTAAGCCTTGTTTTTCGCTGAGGATTCGTTTTGTGGTTCGTTACGGTCGACCTGTTTTCCCATGCCTCCCTCCCAGAACGAAGGCCAAAGCACGGCCGAAGTGCAGCAAGACAGCGTCTAGGTCCAGCCCTGGTTTTGAAGTCTTGGCCCCGCTTTTCGCCGCTGGTGAAGGAAGGAGCCACTTCAAGACGGGCTGTGCACAGGCACTCTTTTTTTTGGTAAGTGCTCCTGCTCGTTAACACTTGTCACGTGTGCAGAGCTACACTGTCAATGCCGCGCTTTCCGGTGGCCGTGCTGCGCTCCTGCTCGCAACGCACACCGCCAGAGGCGGCGGAGAGCGTGAGATGTCCACCCACCAAGAGTGCATGCCCCGGGGCCTCCTCCAGCGCCCCCCGTCGGCGAGGTGCCGAACTGCAGACGTAAGCGAGGTGCCCCCGTCGGCGAGGTGCCTCCATCGGCGAGGTGCCTCCAGCGCCCCCGCCGGCGAGGTGCCCCGTCGGCCAGGTGCCTCCAGCGCCCCCCGTCGGCGAGGTGCCGAACTGCAGACGTGAGCGGGGCCCTCCACCCCCCCCCCCTCAACTCCAGAGTCCGGCCCCTGCTTCGGGCTCGCGCGGAGCGCCGCCGCCGCCCTCCTCCTCCTCCCGACGCCGACGCTGCTGGCATTGGAACCCACTCCTCCCCCTCCTCCTCTGCTCCTCCTCCTCCTCCTCCTCCTCCCCCTCCTCTCCTCCTCCTCCTCTCCTCCCCCTCCTCCTCCTCCTCCTCCTCCTCCTCCTCCCCCTCCTCCTCTGATCCTCCTCTTCCTCCTCCTCTTCCTCCTCCTCCTCCTGCTGCTCCTCCTCCTCCTCCTCCTGCTCCTCCTCCTGCTACTCCTCCTCCTCCTTCTCCTCCTCCTCCTCCTCCTCCTCCTCCTCCTGCCCCTCCTGGGAGAAAGGGGAGAAAAGATGGACAGAGGGAGAGAGAGAGAGAGAAAAAAAAAAAAAAAAAAAAAAAATGAGAGATAGAGAGAGAGAGAGAAAGAGAGAGAGAGAGAGAGAGAGAGAACGAAAGCTCGAGAGAGAGCGAGAGAGAGAGGGAGGTCCGGAGGTCAGGCGCCGTCGCCCGAAGGCGGCCCAGGGCTGGGCGACGAGCGCGCTAGGAGAAGGCAGCAGCCATCGCCCGATGCCCTGCACGAGCGAAACGCCGGCCACGCGAGGTTGCGAGCGGGCGCGTGTGCACTGACACAAGAGGCGAGGGGGGGAGAAGGGCGGAAGCCGGGGACGGAAGGACGAGGATGCTGGTTTTGTTGCAAAGCGGCCCCGCGCCCGCTCCTGGGCACGAGCCCCGGCTGGGCTCGTGCTGCACCACGGCGCGCAGCACCACGGCTGCGCGCCATTTTCGGCACGCGCGCGAAGACAGGGGGGGGGGGAGGGGGGGATGGGAGGGGAGGGGAGGGGGGAGGGGGAGGGGGGGAGGGCGGAGGGGAGGGGGGGGAGTGTGGACCTCACGCGAAGACAGGGGGGGAGGAGGGGGGAGAGAGGCTTCTCAGCAGCACCCCGCTGCTCAGACGGCGCGGGCCTTGCCCCTATAGAGAGAGGGCCCGCGCCTCCCAGGACGCAGGCGGTGCTTCGAAGCAGGCCTGCGCCGCATCGCCGATGCATCGGCGGTGCGGCGCAAGCCTCCAACCCAATCCACTCAGAACCCGTCCGGGAGTGGACAAACCTCCTTTTAGTAAACCTCCCCTTAGTGCAAACGGCCTGGGGCCGAAACCGACGGACCTGGACCCGCAAAAATGACGGCCGCGACGCCCTCTCGCGAAACGAAAACGGTCAATTCGCTAATCGACGTGTCAGGGTAGGAGGTCTGTCCACCCCCGAGTCCTATAAACTCTGGCTCCGTCCGGACGGGACTGCCCGGCCCGTCGCACGGTGTCATCTCAGGACCTGCAAGCCCAGGTCATGAGCGCGCAGAGCAGCTCCTTCCGCAGGCGGGCCACCCGGCATGCGCCTCCCGCCGCCGTCTGCAGGGGACCGCCAGAGCCGTCGCGAGGCGTCAGCGGGATTTTAGGAACAGGGGAAAGCGACACCACCACCACCAGGGACCACAAGCGGGACGAACCAGGGGGGGGGTCCCCCTGGCGGTGTGGCCACACACCCTCGCGCTCCAGACATCCCCTGTTCGAGACACCCCCCAGTTCAGGGAGGCATCGCGGACCTCCTCGGTGAAAGCGGCTCCCCTGGCGGGTTGCCGCTGCTCCTCCCCCCAAGATTTACCCTTCGTCCCAAGCCTGGCCCACGCCTGGATTTCGAGCGGCACGGTCTCCGTTCGCCGCCCCCCCCCCCCCGCCGCGCTCGACGGCGGACACGGGCCTGCATCACGTCCTCATAGTCTGGATTCAGGTGGCCTCGGGGCCGTTCCCACGCTGCCTCCCCCTCCTGACTTTCACATCCTCCTCGGACCTTTCAGAATGACACACTGGTCCACGAAACGCCATCCTCCACCTCTTCGTGTGTCCCTCCTCCCCACCACTGCATGTTCCCCCTTGCTGTCTCCCGCCCCCTCCTTATCGCACTGTCCTCCTCAATCTCCTCCTCAGCAACATATTTCTCACCCTCCCTCTACTACTCATCATCCCCCTCCTCGTCTCCCTGCCGATCCTGGTGATCCTCCTGATCCTACTCCTTATCATCCTTCTCCTCCTTAGTATCCTCCTCCTTGCCTTATAAACAACTCCTCCCCGTCGCACCCCGAGGTTGGTCGACAGAGCTGGCCGGGCGTTTCGCCTGAGACTTCCTCACCACATCTGTTCCTGAAGGTACAGAATTTCAAGAGCTTCACGGATGGAGAGCGGGTGGTTTTCAAAATGAGACACTCGTCTTAATGGTTTTCGCATTAGCGCCAAGCACATTCGTCTTCAAAGATGCAACAACTTCACAGGTCGAGGGCGGGCGGTTTTCAAGATGTGGCTCTCGCCTAAGAGAAGCGCACATTCGTTGAAACCATGCGCAGAGGTTGTATGGGTGGAGGGCAGTTCATGATTCAAAATGTTGTTCTCACCTTAGTGCCGCGCATATTCATTCCAAAGTTGTAAACCGCGTCATGACGTGCAATTGCAATGTTTTGCAATGTACACAGTGACATGTCATGCTTGGAGCATGGAGGGAGGGTGCAATGTCGTTGATGAGACTTGGGTTTGCACTGGTCCTCCTCCTCCTCCTCCTCCACCTCCTCCTCCTCCTCCTCCTCCTCCTAATTCTCCTCCTCCTCCTCCTCCTCCTCCTCCTCCTCCTCCTCCAGCCCCCTCCTCCTTCTACCTCAGATTGCAATCCTTTTTTACAAACGTGCTCAAATTTGCTCTGTCGTGCAGGGTCGCCGACGGAGCATAGTATTCCCTGGGAGAATAAGCCCAAACAGTACACAGCCCGCCGAGCATCAGAGTGGAAATATGATCCTCCTCCTCCAGCCTCTTCCTCCTCCTCCTCCTCGTCCTCCTCCTCCTCCAGCCCCCTCCTCCAGCCCCCTCCTCCTTCTCCTGCTCCTCCTCCTCCTCCTCCTCCTCCTCCTCCTCCTCATCCCCTTGCCCCTCCCCCTCCTCCTCCTCCCCCTCCTCCCCATCTCCCTCTCATCTCTTGCTCATCGCCGGCTGGCGCTGGCCTGCAAACCTCAGCGCCCACTCCAGCTTCGAGGCGGCCACGACGGGCGCAGCACCAGCGCCGCTCGCGAATCGGCCGAACGCCTGGCCCCGCCGCTGGAAGGAGCAAGCGCCAGAAAGAGGCTCTGGCGCCTCTTCCAGCATGAAGGCTCCGAGACCTTGACGAGGCACGAACGAGACATGAGTATCCCCTGCCCCAATTCGCCGCCCCTCCACATCGCGTCCCTCCCATCGCTGCTCTAGACCATGTCCAGACTGCAGCGTTGAATATGCCACCGTGACCCCCTGGAACGTTGAGGGGTGGTAAAATTTGATATGTTGTCTGCGACGGTTTCTGAGCATAGTATACGCCACACCCTCTCCATGCCCACTTGCACAGGGGCTCTCCACGGCTTTCCAAGGATTGCAAGACGACCCAGGGAGGCCGCCAAGGCCGCCAAAATGGCTCAACGCTGCCTCAAGAGACACTCAGCACCGCCCAAGGAGACCACGAGAGGCGTCACATGGGCTCCAAGGGGTGTCTCAGAAACCAAGGTTGAGAGATCCTCGAAGCCGAAATTAATTTGAAACCATGTGTTTACTATGGCACGTCAGTTATCCGTTCACATTGGCATACTATGGCATGGTATCCAATGATAGTATGAAATTCTCTGTGCTGGGTGTCAAATTGCGCGGTGTAGAGCGGACCGCGCGATTCGTACGAGACACCCGACCTGCGACCCCCATTGGCGCCGAACCCATGTAAAAAACACGTGGCACACGCATGCGTGCTGGAACGCATGCTTGTTACCACCTCCGCGCGCAGATAAGCACATGTGAAGAACCCGCCATCCCCCCGTGGGTCTGAACACGTGGAAGCACGTGCGAAATACGCGCGCCCACGCGCCAAACGCATGTTGGATCCCCCTTCCGCGCAACGTCTTGCACGTGTGAAGAATCCGACGACCGTATGTTCAACATCCTCATGGCCAATGGCCTGGACATGTACGCCCCCGTGCAAATGTGCACGCGCCAGCCTGTTGCATACCCCCATCCGCGCACGCATATGCATACGTGAAGAATCCGACGGCCGCATGTTCGACAGTCCCGCGTGGACCAGGACACCTGAACATTTGTGCAAAACGCGCAGGCGTCGGGCGCATGGCGGGTGCACCCAACAACACTCGAACTTGACCGCGTGAAGACTCCGACATCCGCGGGTTCGGCATGCTCTGGGGGGCCTGGACACATGGAATCACGTGCTCAGTGCGCAAACGCCAGATGCACGGTGGATACCCAGGTCCGCGCAAGCATGTACAAGCAGGAACATCCCGACGACCGCAAGTTCGACATCAATTATGTGCCGAACGCGCACCCTCCAGACGCAATTTATGTTGGACACCTCCCTACACGCGCGCATCAGCACGTGTGAGCAACCCGAGACTCGCATACGCTGTCTCACCATGTCAGTTCCGATCGGCTTCTGGACCTCAATATTGCTCCCAATCCCGAGAACGGCAGATCCAATACTACCGAGTCAATGTTCACGTGAATCCCAGAGCAGCTCAGAGAAAACTCCGAGAACCACCAAGCGCCCCAGCAGCACCACGAAGAAGCTGCAAAAGGCGCGCAAGAAAGCCCCTGACTAGCACAAGAACGGTACCGACAACCGAGCGGCATCCCCCAAGATTGCCTCTGAATCGTGGTAAGCAATAAGAGCACCCCTAATCATGTGGGATGGGACCTTAGTTAGGAGGGTCAAAACATAGGGGGTCTGGATCAGGACGACGAGGAGGAGGCGGCGGCGGAGGAGGGGGAGGAGGGGGACGCGAGAGCGTGCGGCCTGCGGGGGGGGAGGGGGGGATGAAGAGAGGAAGGAGGAGGAAGAGGAGGAGGAGGAGGAGAGGAAGAAGGAGGAGGAGGGAGAATGAGGAGGAAGAGGAAGAGGAGGAGGACGAGGAGGAGAAGGAAGAAGAGGAGGAGCACGAGGAGGAGGGGACCTCCCCCTCCTGCTTGCCCGTCTTATTGCCTCGGTCCGACTCTGCAGGTCGAGGGCCGAAGGGTGCCCCGAGGCGGCCCGGTCACGGTCCGCAGGGCAGCCCGAGACAGGCCGCCGAGGCCCGAGCCCTGAAAGGGAGGAGGAGGAGGAGGAGGAGGAGGAGGAGGGACGGAGGAGGAGGAGGAGGGAGGGAGGGAGGGAGGGAGGGAGGGAGGGAGGGAGGGAGGTGGAGGAGGAGGAGGAGGAGGAGGAGGGAGGAGTAGGGAGGAGTAGGAGTAGGAGTAGGAGTAGGAGTAGGAGTAGGAGTCAAGCTAGCCAGCTCGAGCGAGTCAAGCATGGCATGCCCAGTCCCACCCGCCCTCCCACAACATAAGAAGCAAAGCTGGCACAACTGGGGGCCGAAGTCACACCGGCCAGCCGGTTTGGTACAGCTGATGCGGCCGCGATGGCGGTTGCCGACGGGAACTGGCGAGCGCGTGTTGAATGCCGCGCACGCATTGCCAGACGAGTCGAGAATGGCCCGGTACACCGCAGGAAGCCAGAGGTGGCCGGAGGAAGCCCGACGGTCTGACAGGACACCCCAAAGCATTTTTGTGAAAAAGCATTGGGTTTTTGATGTTTTTATGTTGAAATGCTTGCAAACACACGGTGTTCGGTAGGATTCTGACATGAACGCGCGAGTGTGCTCTTTGTGGTATTTTTTGCACAGGATTCGCGGCCTGGGTGCATGACAGAGCATCGCGAGTGCACCGCGCGATGACGTGAAATCGCTGGATTTGACCGAATTCTTAAGATTCCTATGGTTTTCCTATGATTTCAGCAAGAGAGCCCGGGCGGGAAATTTGTACAATTTTTGTGAAAAAGCATTGGGTTTTTGATGTTTTTATGTTGAAATGCTTGCAAACACACGGTGTTCGGTAGGATTCTGACATGAACGCGCGCGTGTGCTCTTTGTGGTATTTTTTGCAATGGATTATCGCCGTGGACGACAGGACGTCCATGTCGAGAGGAAAAAATAAGAAAAATGTTGATTTTGTATTGTTTTTTACAGGTTAGGATGGGACCACCCGGATGCGGCCCCTATCTGCCGGCCTGAGGGGGGAGTAGGAGTATATTCTAATAAGGAATAAGGATAGGAGTAGGAGTAGGAGTAGGAGGAGGAGGAGGAGGAGGAGGAGGAGGGAGGAGGGAGGAGGAGGAGGAGGGAGGGAGGGAGGGAGGGAGGGAGGGAGGGAGGGGGAGGGGAGGAGGGAGGAGGAGGAGGGAGGGAGGAGTAGGAGGAGGAGGAAGAGGAGGAGCAGGAGGAGGAGAAGGAGGAGGAGGAGGAGGGGAGGGAGGATAAGGAGGAGGGGATAGAAGGAGGGAGGAAAGGGAGGGAGGAGGAGGGACCCCGGGTTCACCCGTAGGAGACCGCGCAGCGTGGGCGTAGAGGAGACGCGCGGGGCAGATTCAACAGAGGCGACACATACACTGCACACACTGACACACAAGCGCGCACTCGCTTAGGTGTGCAAAGTCAGAGCCATAGGTTTAATCATTTGTGCCTGCTTGTTTCTTGTGTTGTTTTTGTTCCGTCCGGTTTGTTTGCGTTGTTGTTGCGTGATGCGTTGTGTTGTGTTGTGTGTGTTTATGTTTTGTTTTTGACGTGGGTAGGATCTGCCGCGGTCCATCGCCCGGGGGGTTCGACTACCGCCCCGGCGCGGATCGCCCCCGCAAAAGTTCCCTCAAAAGGGGGAACTTAGGCGGGGGCTTTTCCCGTAGGCGCCCCCGCTCGCCTGGGAGGGTGCGGGGGGTCCTGGATCGCTTGGCGCCCAGGGGGGTGTCGGTCCGAGCGGTGGAGTCGCCCGGGGGGGTCTTCGCCGCTCAGTTCCCGCACGAGTCGCCCGGGGAGGCCTCGCGCGGGAACAGTCCTCGCGAATCGCCCAGGGGGGGTTCACGGGGGCGAGGACAGCGCACGTCCCAAAGGATTCATGCGAATCTTTCACGGGACTCTCGCGAATTTTTCGCGGGGGGCCAGGGCTCTCGCGAATTTTTCGCGGGAGGCGCAACAGTCTGGACAGTCGCGCAGGGAGGGCGAAGAAGAAGGAGCGGAGGTCCGATGCCAAAGCCTCGAAGGCCACCTCCGGGCCAAGCGAATGACGGACAATTGGAGCAGGGAGCGGCTAAGGATAGAGAAGGGGAGCGAAGGATAAGAGCCGGAGGGAACGCGAGCGGCGCACCGAGGAGCAGAAGCGGAGAGAAAGGGAGTTCTCCGGTTGATCATATCAAGAAACGGGCGAGATTGATGACTAAATTAAGGCTCTGACTTCGCACACACACAAACATGCGCCGGCGCGTGGACAACCAGAAAACGAGCAAGCAGAAGTAAGAAAACAAACTAACTGTCGGAACAGCAGGTCTACCAAAAAAACGAACACACGGACCCTAAGCCGAAGTGTCAGTCGATGTTGGCCAGGGTTCGAATATCTGCTGAATGATTGTGGGACACTGCGATGGCGTATGGCTTCTTTCGCCTCCACATGCTGCAGTAGCTGTGCAGGCACTCTTTCGCGAAGGGTGCACGCCGTATTGAAGCTCTGCGGCATTCAAGTACATGCTGGGCGCGATGTCTCACCAGCCATGAGTGACAGTGCCATCGCAACTTCTACACATCAGAGCTTGATGAGAAGTCTTCAAGTCATCAGGCGATGGCAAGCAGATCGAATAACAAGATCTGCAACCGCTCCTGCTTCAGTGCCATATGTCAGACTCGCTCTGGCCTCGATCCACCGACCCCTGGGGGTCACCGGGCAAGTTGCTGGCGGCATCGGGCTTCACGCATCAATAGTCCCCCACCCAGCCACAACATCCCCGACTTTCACCCTGAGCTGGTCCGATCTGGGGAAACCAAAAGGCACCGATGCCGCTACCCCCTGGTTCTGACCAGGATTCCGAGGCGAGTCCAGCGGTGGCGACGATGGCCTCCAGGGAGGCCCAAAACGCGGAAAACGGGCGAGGGGGCGACGCGACTCGGACTCACTGTCCTCATCTGCGCCAACGAGGAGGCAGCGGCAGTCACGCACGCGGTGCCGCATCGCGCGAGCCACGGCAGCAAGTCATCGAGATGCACTACGGGTGAACGAGCGCGCTCCACTGCTCGCAGAGCGACTGCTCGCAAATGGCCTGGATCCCCCGCGAGGGGGTAGAGGTATGGGTTCCTGTTCCTTCTCTGGCTACTCCAGATTTCGTAATAAAGGGAGGGGGGTCTCATTTCGGGGGGGGGGGGGTCTCTTCCAGGCTATCTTGGAGGGCCTGGGGGGTCTGGGGACGATGTTTTGGAGGGTTCTCCCACGGGGGAGGTCTGAAATGGCTTGTCTTGGAGGGTCCAGACCCCCTCCCTTTTATTACGAAATCTGGAGTGTCTCATCCTGGCTTCGCCCCATCGCCTGGGCCGCCTGCCTTCGGGCGTCGCGTCCCCGCGCTGCGCGCGTGCGCGCGGTGCCCTGCGCGCTGCCGCGCCCGCCCCCGGAGAGGGGCAGCACCTCGGCACGGCGCCTCGACCTCGGGCCTCCGACGACACAGCCTGTTAGATTGCGGGACGGGAAAATCACCACAGCCACTGCTTCTTGCTTGCGGCGCCTTCCAGCCGGCCGAAAAAGAAGCAGCGGTTGTGGTAATTTGTCCTGGTGCCAAGCTCAACGAAAATGACCACGACAACTGCTTTGTCTTTGTTTCTGCGGGCTGGAAGGCGGCAACAAAAGAAAAGCAGTGGCTGTGGTCGTTTTCACGCCCCGTATAGATGTTAAGTCGGGCGTGTCCCCCTAAGGGGGACCTGGTCGACAGAAACAAAAAATCAACAACACAAAAAACAACTCGAAAAATGCCCCCCCCCCCCCCCCCAAGTGGGCAAAAACAGGCGAAACCTCGTTCCCGGACGGTTTCTTCTACTAGTCTTGAGTATACTCCTCCCGTAGAGGAACGGGCCCGACTTCATGCCAGATCCTCCATCCGACAGCCCTCTCGACCCCTCCCCCCGCTCGTCTTGCACGAGCGGGTGGCGGCACCAGGGCCCGGGAGCCGGCGCTGGAGCTCGCAAACCGGCACAGGCCTCCGGCCCGAGCGGCTCGCGTCTCCAGAGGTCCAGGACCGCGACGCGCAGAGCACAGCCACCTGTGGGTCGGGCGCGTCCTCCTGCTGACTACCTACCAGACCACCCCAACCCAACCCGAAGACCCGAATTTCGGGTTGCGGGGGGGTACGGGTTCCATAGGTGGTTTCTCGATGTTCCCCGAACCCCCCCCCCCACTGGAAATTGAGGGCAAATTGAAGCCTTCGGGTTGGGTTGGGGTGGTTTGGTGGGTGGTGACCTGCAGGGCGGATCTCGGGCGAAAGCATAAAAAACCGTATCAACATACATTCAAAGATGTAGCCAAAAAATGATAGGACGTTCGTCCCGAGACTAGTTTTCAGTCGAGCGTGTCCCCCTACAGGGGGATGTTGGGCAAAAGACAAGAAATCCGCCGACCCTGTCGGCGTGTGTGAGGGGCTTTTCCGTTCGAGCCGTCATCTCCGTCATTCTTTGTACTCGTCGTCTCTGTCCTTCCCTTTCCCTGGGAGAACTCTTCCCCTGGGCTCCAGCCAAGCCGACCTTGAGCAACCTCGTAATTGAGTCGAAGGGAAGCCCCTTCCCTTTGATCCCTCCCCCGCCGGGAGGGGGGGGGGGGTGTCGACCCCCCCCCCGGGTCAGATACGACGCCCCCCCCTGGGACTCCTCTTCCCCTGGGCTCCAGCCAAGCCGACCTTGAGCAACCTCGTAATTGAGTCCGAAGCCGATCCCTCCCCCGCCGGGAGGGGTGACCAGCCAAGCCGACGAGCATTGAGTCGTAATTGAGTCGAGGGAAGCCCTTCCCTTTGATCCCTCCCCCGCCGGGAGGGGGGGGGGGTAGCGACGAGGGGGAAGGTAGCGACCCCCCCACCCCCCTCGGATACGACGCCCCCCCTGGGACCCCTCTTCCCCTGGGCTCCAGCCAAGCCGACCTTGAGCAACCTCGTGTAATTGAGTCGAAGGGAGCCCCTTCCCTTTGATCCCTCCCCCGCCGGGAGGGGGGGGGGGGTGTCGACCCCCCCCCCGGGTCAGATACGACGCCCCCCCCTGGGACTCCTCTTCCCCTGGGCTCCAGCCAAGCCGACCTTGAGCAACCTCGTAATTGAGTCGAAGGGAAGCCCCTTCCCTTTGATCCCTCCCCCGCCGGGAGGGGGGGGGGGTAGCGACCCCCCCCCCGGGTCAGATACGACGCCCCCCCCTGGGACTCCTCTTCCCCTGGGCTCCAGCCAAGCCGACCTTGAGCAACCTCGTAATTGAGTCGAAGGGAAGCCCCTTCCCTTTGATCCCTCCCCCGCCGGGAGGGGGGGGGGGTAGCGACCCCCCCCCGGGTCAGATACGACGCCCCCCCCCTGGGACTCCTCTTCCCCTGGGCTCCAGCCAAGCCGACCTTGAGCAACCTCGTAATTGAGTCGAAGGGAAGCCCCTTCCCTTTGATCCCTCCCCCGCCGGGAGGGGGGGGGGGTGTCGACCCCCCCCCCGGGTCAGATACGACGCCCCCCCCTGGGACTCCTCTTCCCCTGGGCTCCAGCCAAGCCGACCTTGAGCAACCTCGTAATTGAGTCGAAGGGAAGCCCCTTCCCTTTGATCCCTCCCCCGGCGGGAGGGGGGGGGGGGGGTCGACCCCCCCCCCGGGTCAGATACGACGCCCCCCCCTGGGACTCCTCTTCCCCTGGGCTCCAGCCAAGCCGACCTTGAGCAACTCGTAATTGGTCGAAGGGAAGCCCCTTCCCTTTGATCCCTCCCCCGCCGGGAGGGGGGGGGGGTAGCGACCCCCCCCCCGGGTCAGATACGACGCCCCCCCCTGGGACTCCTCTTCCCCTGGGCTCCAGCCAAGCCGACCTTGAGCAACCTCGTAATCTCTTGCTGCGCATTGCGAACAGGGTCGGCGGCACCGGCCGTCAGGCCTTCGCAATACTCAAAAGATACCCCCTCAAGTGGGCAAAACTAGTCAAACGATCGTCCCCGGACTATGTTGCACTGTCTTTGAATCTTCCTCCTGTAGAGGGACAGGCCCGACTCAAGATAGCCCCCCCCCCCCCGAAAAAAGGATCAAAGCTACCATCAAAAAATCACAGGAAGCTCGTCCCGAGGCCAGTGCTGGACCATCTCTGAATGGTCCTCCTGTGGAGGGACAGGCCCGCCGCAAGGCTCCCTTCGCGCCCGCACGGGGCGCCCTGGACCGCCGCCGAGCACGTCGCCTCCAGGGAGGCACGGCACGGCCCCCCCAAAGAAGCCCCTGCACAGCGCGCAGTGGCAGTGATGGGCCTGCTTTCAACCACCACCACCATGAAGTTGGAGGGGAAGGGGGTCCTCCTCCTCCTCCTCCTCCAACTCCTCCTCCTCCTCTTTCGCCACCTCCTCCTCCTCCTCCTCCGCCTCCTCCTCCTCCTCCTCCTCCGCCTCCTCCTCCTCCTCCGCCTCCTCCTCCTCAACCTCCTTCCCCCCTCCTTTCCCCCCTCCTCGGCCCATCGGGCAGAGGTGACCTCCAGCGCCTCAGCAGGCGGACCTCCGGGGAGGGCTCCAGGACGGCTCCGAACGGAAAAGCTCCTGGCGTGCTCCGCCGAGGGCCGCACGAGAGGCGGTCCGGGACCTGGTGCTGCTCCGACGGCTGCTCATCCTCTTCGTGCTTTCCTCCACGACGCAATCGAAACATGCCACTGACTGCCTACCAGACCACCCCAACCCAACCCGAAGACCCGAATTTCGGGTTGGGGGGGGTAAGGGTTCCACATGTGTTTTGTCGATGTTCCCCGACCCCCCCCACTGGAAATCGAGGGTAAATCTGAGCCTTCGTTTTGGGTTGGGGTGGTTTCAGGAAGCTTCAGGAAGCTCCGTGCTGGAGCCCGCGTGCCACCCGGAGCCCGCCCGGACAGGCCCCAGAAGCCCTCGGAGCCCGACCCCCACACGAGCTCCAGGGCCCAGAGCTCCCAAGGCAGCATCAGAGGCCAGCAAGAGAGGCCCGAGAAACTCCTGGGGCTCCGAAATGGCCTCTCACGCCCCAAACAACATCCAAACAAGGCCTCCAAAACGGTTTCCGAAGCGCGCCCAAATTACAATGAGAGGTTCGCAACATGCTCCCCTGAAACTGGACGATGCACCCCGAAGACCTCAAAGAGTCTCCCAAGAGGTTGCCAGCAATGCTTTCGCCAGTGTGTCCTCGAGCACCCTCGAAAAAATACTCGATGGACCTGCCTTAGATGGCCCACTTAGATTATGTCCGGCTGTGTTATAGCAAAGCGGTGAATATCATATTTTGCTGCATCAGCCCAAGCTCAGCATCGCTCTTAGCCGTGACAGTATGATTTAACAGATTCGGGTCAGCATGCACTGATGCTTCTGGTATGCGAATGACAAAGTCTGACCAAGGTATCACATCCTCGAAAGGGTACCGTACATCATCGGAGACAACAACTGGGATCGCTCCGACGTGAATTGCCTGCATGAAGCGCATGCTCTCTGGCGTGTCGCCAGGAGGAACGACGACAAATTTCGACATAGACATCCGTTCCAAGAGGTTCTCAACTGCTGCTAACTCACCAGATGAGCGACGCTCAAACCACTCGAGATTCGAGCTGGCAACCAACGGAAACGCATCTTGCATCCACAACCTGGAAGGCATCATTGAGCCAGTGAAGAAAACTGATGTATTACGCATGGATGGAGGCCTGACGTTCCCACTCACTGGTGGAATGAAGTATGGCACCTTGATGGTGGAACGCAGATCATATGCTCTGGGCCTCGCTACTTCTTCCAGGCACGCTCTCATGGTGTGCCCCCACATGTTCGGAAATGCATCGTCGAAGTGCGTGCTGGAAGGGAGCTTCGTGCAGCGGAGGCTGGTCACCAGGTGGTCCGTTCCAGAGAAGCGATCCCAGTAGGGCCCAATCGAACGTAGAAAGTCAACGATCGCACTATCGCGTCTCTTGCAAAAATCGCAATGACGCCCACGACGATTGTGAAGGTACATCTCCACAAGGAAGGCTGGCACCAAAAAGAGGTCGGCGTCCTCAGGGTTGTTAGTCATGTTCATCCCATGCAGATCTGACCACAACTTCAACTCAAAGAGAAAGTTTGTGTGATCCCAGCATCCATGCGATCCTTGAGCAGAAGGAAACGGGGCACTCGCATCGGTCGACCCTTGCAGGAGACCCCCTGGAAACTCTACACTTGTATCAGTGGCCGCCTCTTTGCATATATCAAGATCACCCCTGAGTTCGGCAGGCAATCGGTACATGTACACGCGGGGTGTATCTGCCGCACAATGTGGGCTCTCAGCAGAAGGCATGTTGCCACGCAGACCCCCTACGCCTGTATTATTTCTTCGATACCTTTCAATCATTCTCGGCTCCGAACCATCAGTCCATCCAGAGACATGAGGATCACGCACATCCACCCCAGTGGCAGTGACTGAGGCAATGATGTGGTGCTGGCGCTCTGTCCGCACCAACGCCCCTGCATCGACACGATTCAAAATGGCGGACAATACCAATAGAATCGGCAGCGCAACAGTCGACATGGAATATCAGAATCGTAAGACGTGGTGCCAGAGACCCTGAGCTTTCTTTTGAGCCGAGCTTGCGCAGCAGAGCGTCGTCTGCACAAAGGCGCAATCAGTCAAATGTCCAGCAAACCAGCCACAAAACCAATTAACCAGCTGGCCACTGCAGTCAAGCCGTATAACAAGGATGCGCGGGAGGAATGCAGGGGCCTTGGAAGGCCATGTTACAGTTTTTGTTGAACGAGGCTGGCCACCAAAAGTTACCACGGATGGGCCGAAGGGGCAAGGATACAGGGGTAGCCCTAGAAAGTCGCTCGTCCCCACTGGTGTGTTAGACCGGGCGTGTTCTCCTACTGGGGGATTTTGAAGGAAAGAATAAGAATAGTCAAATGATGCTCAAAGATTGTCAAACATTATCATAAACAAATCGGGACAATCAGAAATTGTGGAACATCGCTCCCGTACTATTCTGGCACACTTCTTAAAATAATTCCTCCTGTAGGGGGACGTGCCCGACTTGAGGGTAGCCCTGCCGAGCCGCTCGTCCTCACTGGGTGTGCCCCGCGCGGAAAAATCTGCGGGGGGCAGGTGGGCGACCGCACGGCGAGAAGGGCCTTGCGAGAAGCTGCCGCCGCGCCCGCGACGCAGCTGTTTTGGCCGGCTGGTGTGCACTCGTCGTCCCCTCATTTCGGGGGCGCGCAAACATGGATTAGCGTTAGGTCGGGCAGGTCCTCCTACAGGCGGATTTTGGAGCGAAAACAAAAAATAAAAAATATCCAAAGAAACAAAAAACGATCGAAAAATGGTACCCGGACTATTCTCTTACTAGTTTTGAATATTCCTCCTGTGGAGTGACATGCCCGACTTAAGATTAGCGATCCATGGATTTGGCGCGCTGTCGCCAAATCCATGCATCGGGGGAGGTGCCCTCCCCAGAATGCGGCCAGTGCCGCCTCGCTCGGCGGCGGCGATTCTGGATTTCCCATGGAAACGGGGCCCGTCGCTAATCCACGCCCCCTTGACCCATGTTTGAGATCGCCTCATTGTCGCAAGAAGGGTCGGGCAATCGTCCGCCCCCCCGCAGGTTCGAATTTCGCCACTACAAGATCCAAGAGTGGCACAAAATCGCCACACGACGACTGCAGCATGTCCGAAGACTAGCCAAATCCTGACCAACAAGCTCCCAAAACAGAGAGGCCTCGAGAAGCATCGAATACACGCCCGGAGAGGCCTTCAGCGAGGCTTTAGGAAGCGAGAAACATTGAAACCGAACAAGGAAATCAATGCGGTTGCTTCCGAGGCTTCTTGGCTAAGATGTTAGCACTGCCGCGCTGACGCGGTGGTCGCTTTAATGAGGCGGTGGTGGAGGACGAAAGGGATGAAGGGAGGGTGAGGTGAGAGGGGGAGGAATGGACGGACGGAGGAGTAGGAGAGAAGGAGGCAGGGAGAGAGAAAGAACGATGAGGACGAATAGGATAACAAGGAGAACAAGGATGAGTAGGAGAGGGAGGAGCAGCAGGAAAAGGTTGGAAGGAGGGTGAATGGGGGGCTGGGACTGGTCGAAAGCAGGGATAGGGGAGCACGATAAGGTTGAACGCAGGGTGAGGTGGGACGCGTGGGCAGGTTTGATGGCTGTCTGACCTCTGTGGTCTGGGCAACTCGCCTGGCGATCGTTCCTCGATGGGCTGGTGAGGATACGCGAGTGGTGGAGAATTCCAAGAAGCAAATCCAGCCGTGGCGTCGAGGGTACCCCCGAAGGCCCGTAGAGGGCCAACAACATCCGAATCGCCTCGACCTTAGATGGTCGAGCACCTGACGGCGATCAAGAAGATGGCAACGAAAACAGGCAACGAACGGCGGAGACGGCGACGACGACGACGACGACGACGATAACGACGACGACGACGATGACGAAACGACGACAAACCGATGACAAATCGACGACGACGACGAATACGACGGCGACGACGGACGACTGACTACCACGGACGAACACAGACGACGACGGACGACAGACACACACGACGATAGCGACGGACGACGAGGGATGACGGCGGCGGCAGCGGGCCTCTGCACGCATCCTCCTCCGCCCTCACTCCGGGCCCACCCCTCCTCTACATCTTCCCCCTCCTCTTCCCCGCCTCCTCACGCACTGTGGGCTTGCGCGGTCCCGGCATCATCTTCCTCCTCCTCCTCCTCCTCCTCCTCCTCGCTCCTCCTCCTCCCTCCTCCTCCTCCTCCTCCTCCTCCTCCTCCTCCTCCTCCTCCTCCTCCTTCCTCCTCCTCCTCCTCCTCCTCCTCCTCCTCCTCCTCCTCCTCCTCCTCCATCCTCCTCCTCCCTCCTCCTCCTCCTCCTCCTCCTCCTCCTCCTCCTCCTCCCCTCCTCCTCCTCCTCCTCCTCCTCCTCCTCCTCCTCCTCCTCCTACTCCTCCTCCTCCTCCTCCTCCACCTCCTCCTCCTCCTCCTCCCTCCTCCTCCTCCTCCTCCTCCTCCTCCTCCTCCCCTCCTCCTCCTCCTCCTCCTCCTCCTCCTCCTCCTCCTCCTCTCCCTTGTCCTCCTCCTCCTCCTCTTCACTCCCCTCCGCGTTCTTTCCCCGTCTCTAGCCTCTGATCATTCGACCTCAATCCTCGAACCTCCTCCCCGATCCTCGAAAACCTCTTCCCCCACGCTCGATTCCGAGGCGGCGAGTCTCCATGAACCTCGCCTCGGGGATCGGTCTTGTGGATATCGGCAAGCGGTGGACGGGGCTCGATTCGAGGGAACGCGCTTCAGGAACGCCTGGCTCGGCAGCATCCAACGACACCCTCGGAGACGGGAGGATTCCCAATCCCGCCCCCTCCAGACATCCCGCCCGCCAAGGGGGGCCATACCCTTTTTTCCCCCATCCTTACTTCCTATGATTAAACACCCCCACATCCCCACCTAGCCGATTGCCAAAAAAAAACATCACAAACTCAATTTGCCTATCGACCGCATGTCGTCGAGTTGCGAAAAGTGTAGCAGGAAAAAGACGGATTGAACATCGTTCGGGTAACCCTAAGCGGGTGGTCGCGTCATACCCATCAAACAACAAGACACAATCAACAGTTCGCTCGCCAACATAGACTTTCTTGTCGTCGACGCTGCGATAAGTGCAGCAGGAATGGGACGCGCCGCGCATCGAGCGCGGACGCCTGGCCAACCCTACGCGGGACCCCCCGTCCTACCTGCGAAAAAACACCCCAACGTCGACGCTTTTCTTATTAACATTTACGTTCTCCTCGTCGGCGCTGCGAATCGCGCAGCGGGAATGGGGCGCGGCGCACATCGCGCGGGGACGCCTGCTCGTCAACATAGACTTTCTTGTCGTCGACGCTGCGGCCCGTCGGGTTGAGGAGCTGGGCGGGCGCCAAGTCAGAATGCCTCAAGCAAGTGCGGTTCGACGCCGGCGCGCGTGGCTGGAATGAGACGCGGCGCACTTCGCGCGCTGGACATGTTGTCGCCGACGATGCAACATTAGAGGTCGGAGCGGGGCGCGGCGTACATCGCGCGCGGCCTTGTTTCTCGTCGACATTGCTCAGTACACGGCAGGAGTAGGGCGCAGTTCATGTCGCGCGCTGAACGAAATAAGATGAGCGACAGGCGTCGGACGCGACGCACTTGCTTCTTATGCTGTGGGAGGGCGGGTGGGAGTTGACGGAGCCCTCTGGCTCGTTCGAGCTGACTAACTTGACTCCGTCCCAACCCCTTTCCCCTTTAGATCAACGGTCGGGGAGTTCGAACCCCCCACCTTGTCCCACATGGAATCCGGGGGAGCAAGTCGAACCCCCCACTTGTCTCGCCACCGGCAAACGACGACGGCGGGAGCCTGCGAACGACGACCAACGACGACGAGGACGAGGACCAGGACATGGATTTTAGCGAAGACGACAACGACAACCACGAAGACAATGACAATGACAATGACGACAACCCCTCGACCCTCCTTTCTCGCCGCCGGAAAGCGAAGTCGGCGAGCGCCGGCTGACGACGACCAACGACGACGAACGACGACAACAACGTCGACGACGACGACGACGACGACGACAACGACGACAAACGACGACCGATGACGACAATGACGCAGGCGGGCGGGTGAACGGGCGGACACTGACGGGTGGGTCGGCTCGGGCGGGCAGACCCTAACGGGCGGGTCTGGTCGGGCGGACAGACTCTAACGGGCGGGTCGGGTTAAGCGGGCGGACCCTAACGGGCGGGGGTCGACGCGGGCGGGCGGGACAATGAAAGATGGAACGTAATCGAGCTGCCATGCAAAAACGTCGTCGTCGTCGTCGCCGACGTTGTTTGCCTGCGCCGGCGTCTGGCTTCGTCGTTCGACAGCGGCGAAAAGGGGGTAATTACGGGGGGGTCGTGGTCGTAATCGTCGTCGTCGTCGTCATCGTAGTCGTCGCCGCCGCCACCGTCGTCGTCGTCGTCGACGTCGTCGTCGTAGTCGTCGTCGTCGTGGTCGACGACGTCGTGGCCGACGTCGTCGTGGTCGTCGTCGTCGTGGTCGTCGTCGTCGTCGTGGTCGACGTCGTCGTGGTCGACGTCATCGTGGTCGTGGTCGTCGTGGACGACGTCATCGTCGTCGACGTCGTCGTCGTCGTGGTCGACGTCGTCGTGGTCGACGTCGTCGTGGTCGTCGTCGTCGTGGCCGACGTCGTCGTGGTCGACGTCGTCGTCGACGTCGTCGTCGTCGACGTCGTCGTCGTTGTTTGCGGGCGTCGGCCACCGCCGTTCTGCCGTCGCTTGCCGACGGCGGGCGGCGAGCACGCGAGCACGGGCGGGGAGCTGTTAGGAGGGGGGGGGGGGCTCGATAGGAGGGAGTGGGGGGGCTCGAGCCCCCCCCCCAAGTTGTAGGGAGAAGAGGCTCGAATCCCCACGCTGCGTCCAAAATGGGCGAGGAAGAGGAGGGCGGGGCCCGAATCCCCACGCTGCATCCAAAATGGGCGAGGCTCCAGGCGGCCACAGGAAGCGGTCGCTCACGGATGCGGGCCCTCGGGGGGGGGGGGGGGGCAAACGCATCCATGTCAACCGCCTGTCGAGGTCCCCGAAGGCCGAGCCCGCAGGCGGTGGTTCTGGATAGATCCCCTCCTAGCCCTCGATCCTCGATCCCAGAACCACCTCCCCTGCCTGGATCCTCGAAAATCTCCTCCCCGATCCTCGACCCACCTTCGATCTCGATCGTCCACCCTCCCCTCCGATCCCCGAGAAGCTCCCCCCCTCGATCATCGGTCCGGGATCGATGGTCTGGGAGGAGATTTTCACGGAGGCGGGCGGGCAGCGGGGCCTCCGAGATCATCGGCAGGCGCCGCTGGCGAGCCCTCTCTCGCCAGGCGTCCTCGCGAGGGCGGTCGCGGACAGGGGGGGACTACTCGCCGTTCTGCCCGTCCTCCTCCTCCTCCTCATCCTCCTCCTTCCTCCTCCTCATTCTCCGCCTCCTCCTCCTCCTCCTCCTCCTCCTCCTCCTCCTCCTCCTCCTCCTCATCATCATCATCATCATCATCATCATCATCATCATCATCATCATCATCATCATCATCATCATCATCATCATCATCATCATCATCATCATCATCATCATCATCATCATCATCATCATCATCATCATCATCATCATCATCATCATCATCATCATCATCATCATCATCATCATCATCATCCACATCATCATCCTCGTTCTCTTCCCTACTCGCGCTCCGTCCTCACCGTCCTCGTCGTTTACTCATCCTAATACTCGTCGTCATCCTCCTCCGCCAATCACGTCCTCCAGTTAATCCCTTCCCTCCTCCTCCTCCTCCTCCTCCTCCTCCTCCTCCTCCTCCTCCTGCTCATCATCATCATCATCATCATCATCATCATCATCATCAGCAGCAGCAGCATCATCAGCATCATCATCATCAGCATCATCATCATCAGCATCATCATCGTCATCGTCATCGTCATCATCATCATCATCGGCATCAGCATCAGCATCAGCATCATCATCATCAGCATCATCATCAGCAGCAGCATCATCATCACCACCACCATCATCAGCATCAACATCATCATCAACATCATCGTTATAATCATGAGCATAAGCATGATCATCAGCATCATCATCAGCATCATCGGCATCATCAACAGCATCAGCATCATATTTATCAGCATCATCAGCAGCAGCACCACCGTCACCGTCGTCGTCATCATCAGCATCATCACACACATAAGCATAACCATCATAAGCATCATCAGCATCATCAGCAGCATCATCATTACCATCATCATCGGCATCCGCCTTCTCCTACTCCTCCTCCTCCTCCTCTTCAGCATCATCGGCAGCAACATGAGTATCATCAGCAGCAGCAGCGTCATCATCCATAATCAACGTTGCCAGCAGCAGCATCATCATCCTCATCATCAGCGTCTTGATCATCATCATCAGCATCTGCATAAGCAGCATCACAATGATCATAACCATCATCGTCAGTCATCAATTGCATCATCATCAGCAGTATCAACATCATCAGCAGCAGCATCGTCATCATCATCCGTATCATCAGCAACAGCATCAGTTTCACCATGATCAGCATGATCATAATCACGCTCATCATCCGCATCATAATCAGCAGCATCATCATCGTCGTCATCGTCAGCATCATCCGTATCCTCATCATCAGCATCATCAGTAGCATCATCAGCATCACCATCAGTGCCCTCATCGTCACCTCCATCATCATCAGAATCATCGTCGCCATTGCCATCATCAAGAACAACAGCAACAACATCAGAATCAGCATCATCCTCATCGACCTCACCATCGTCTCCATCATCATCATCATCATCATCATCATCATCATTATCATCATCATCACCATCATCATCATAATAGTCATGTCATGATCAGCATCATCACCAGCGTCATCGTCAGCATCATCAACATGATCAGCATCCGCATCAGCATCATCATCAATCCCCATCCGCACCCTCAGCATCATCCTCATCCTCATCCTCACCATCATCCGTATGATCAGTATCGTCCTCTTAGTATGCCTCGTGTTCTGCTCATCCTCACTTGCCTTCCTCGTTCCAAATGCCTTTCCCCGCCTCCCTTTCGTCATTCCTCCTTCCCGCATGTTTCCCCTGCTCCTCCTCTTTATCCTCCTCAGTCAGGCCACCGTCCTCGCCATCGCACTCCCCCTACGCATCCTCATTCGCATTCGCATTCTGCACCTCTCCCTACCTCCCGCCCGAACATACACACACACACACACACACACATACACACGAACGCGCACATACGCACACACACACACACAACACGAACAGATACGAACACAAACCCCAAGCCCCCTAAGCTCCCAGCCTTCCCTTGTGAAACATCCGCCCTGGACCCCTCCGAAGGGGGTCGGCGTGGGATGAATAGGAGACCAGAGGAGAGAAAGGAAACAGGAAAGCGGAATGGGGAGGGTATAGTGGGAAAGATACAACATGGGGATGATCAAAGAGGGGGAGGTGGGAAGGGAGTCTGAGGCCGTACCTTAATGCCGCTGCCGCTTCGCGACGACAGCATATACCTGGCTCACTTTCGCAACGCAGTCTTTCGTTTGAACTGACCCTCTTGGCAATGGCCATCTCGCTGTACGTTCCCCGAACGACAACTTCATGTCATAACGGGTCGCATGTCGTTTCCTCGGGAACTGGATGGGCACGTCGCGGATTGTTCTGTCGCCGCCCAAACCCGCCGCCGCCCCACCGCTGCCGCCTCGCTGCCGCCCACGTGGGGCGATGGTTCGTCGAGGCCTCGCTGCGTCGCCGCCCGCTGCCGCCTCGTCGCCACCAACTTGGGGGGGGAAGCTGCCCATCGAAACTCCGCCGCCACGCCACGCGTCGCCGCCCAGCTGCCGCAACGCTGCCGCCCCGTCTTGAGCCGTCGGAATGCAGAAAAAGAGCAAATGTCAACATCTGTCAGACACCTAAGGGAAATCAGCGATTTTGATCTCTTCGGGTCCTCGTTGGAGGCCCCTTGGGCCGTCTTGGAGACATAAAGGTCTCGTCGCGCGGCCGCTGGCTGCCGCTGCATCGCCGCCCAACTGGCCGGGGCAAGGTCCGCCGAGGCCCCGCCGCGCCGCCGCCCGTGGTCGCCCCGTGGCCGCCCCGTCGCACCGGGCCCGCCCCGTCGCCCACGCGCTGCCGCCCCGCTGCCGCTCCGTCGCCGCCCACTCGGGGCGGGCGGGGGGGGGCCGCCGAGATCTCGCCGCGTCGCCAACCCGCTGCCGCCTCGCTGCCGCCGCCCGGCGGGGGGTGCGTCGACGCCTCGCCGCGTCGTGGCCCGTCGCCGCCTCGCCTCGCGGCCGACAGCCTGGGCGGGGGGGATCCGTCGAGGCCTCGCCGCGTCGCCGCCCGCTGCCGCCTCGTTGCCGCCCCGTCGTCGCCCACGTGGCGGGGCTGCGTCGAGCCCCCCGCCGAGCCGCCGTGCGCTGCCGCCTGGCGGCCACCGGCCCGCTCGGGATGGACCCGTCGAAATCTCGCCACGTCGAAGCCCATTGCCGCCCCGTGGAAGGGGGGGGGTCGTCGAGGCCTCGCCGCGTCGCCGCACGTTGCCGACTCGTGGCCGCTCACTTCGGCGGGCCAATCGAAATCTCACCGCGCGGCCGCCTGTTGCTGACTCGCTGCCGCTCCGTTGCCGCCCCCTTTCGGGAGGTTCCTCCGGGTATCGCCGCGTCGCCGCCTGTTGCCGCCACGTTACCGCCTACGTGGGGGGGGGGGCGTTGAGGTCTCGCCGCGTCGCCCGCCGCCCGTTGCCAGCAGGTTCTCGGAACGAACTGGATGTGCTGCAAGCGTTGTCGGTTTTCCCTGGTGAAGTGGTTTGTTTGTAGACGTGCTCCCGAATGTGCGGACTGTCAAGATTGGCTGGTCTCTGGTTGACCACGGTGTTCAATTGCATGTGCTAGGTTTCGACGCATCGCGTTGTTGTTCCACGTCGTTATTGCGGTAATGTTGCCCTCATGCGCGCTGCTCTATGTTGCACGTTGTGAGCCAGCGTGTACCTAGCACAATAGGCTGTTGCATTGCGGATGTGCCAGCTGTGCGATGCAATCAACGTGGCTTAAGCTATGTAGTATGAACTATGAGGCGCGAGCGGTGTCGTGTAGGCTATGTGGTCCAACCGGAACCCACCCACGCGGTGGGCGGCTGGGAGGCGGCATCGGGCGCCGACGCGGCGAGACTTCGATTGACCCCCCCAAGTGGGCTGCGATGAAGCGGCCACGGGGCACCAACGGGCGGCAACGCAGCGATACCTCGACGGATCCTCCCCAATTGGCGGCGACGAGCCGACAACGGGCGGCGACGCGGCGAGACCTCGACAGACCCCCCAAACTGGGCGGCAGCGGAGCGTCAGCGAGGCGGCTACCAACACAAAGCAAAACTCCACGCACATTCATATGGAATACCAATAAACCCTGGTAGCACCGAGAAGAGAAACAACCCCAAAGGTTCCAACGAGGCGAACCATAAGTTAAGCAGAAGGCTGCGCTGCTGGTGGCACCGCGGGAGATCACGCAGGCATTGCGCCGCAAGTTGCGTCACGGGGTGTGCAATAAGTATAGGCAGCATGTCGAGAGATGGCGCCATAGGTCGAGGTGTAACTTGCGACATGTGGTGCGCCTCGGGTTGCCCCGCAGATCCAGTGTGAAAGTTACGCCATGGCCCTGACCATCTGTTCCACCGTTGGTGTGGCTCGGCCGAGGGTACCGACACCAGGGAACCAGACAAGAGACGCCCGAGCTGAGGTTTTCCTCGAGCAGCCCAAACGCCCGATGGATCTCTCGGGGATCTACTGACCCGGTTCAATCCAAACCCGGGTCAGCCTTGCGGAATCTTGCAAGATCCTGAAATTCCTGCAGGATCCTGCACCTAAGCCCGGGTCAGCGCCCCCCTGGATCTGCAGGATCCTGCAAAATCCGGCGCTCTGGCTGACCACCATTCGCACTGACCCCTCTCTCAGAGCCCCCGCCCCGAATCACCCACGCTTTGGTGATTACGGCCTGCTTGTCTGCGTGAGGTGCGAAGATCCCTCTCCGGCCGATTGCAAATCTGGCGCGTGGGTGGCACGGGCTCCGCCGTCGGAGTTACCGCGCGGTGGAGCTGGTTGCGTTCGCCGCGCTTCTGTCCGAAAGGCGCGCGACGTTGTTGCGAGGGCCCGCGCTCCCGTTCTCCTCCCCCCCCTCCTGCACCGCCCGTTCGGGAGGAGGAGGAGAAGGAGGAGGAGGAGGAGGACGACGAGGAGGAGGAGGGGGAGGGGGAGGGGGAGGAGGAGGAGGGGGAGGGGGCGGGAGGAGGTGGAGGAGGAGGAGGAGGAGGCCGCGGTGGGCCCCGCCCCCCCTTGGAACGGCAGCGGGGACTTGCAGCGGTCTGACGTTGGTCTCCCTCGGAGGGTCCAGCGGCGCCCATGGGACGCGCGGAGATGGCACGGCACGTGGCCCGCTGCGGTGGGCACGCACGCCGCCGCCGCCGCCGCCGCCGCCGCCTCCGCCTCCGCCTCCGCCTCCTCCTCCTCCTCCTCCTCCTCCTCCTCCTCCTCCTCCTCCTCCTTCGTCTCGGGGTAACGATAGCAGGGGGAATAGGGACAGGGGAGGAAACACCGACCTGGAATCGGCGGTGCATCGCCGAAAGATCGGCGATGGGCCCCTGGTAGTGGATCCGCACGCTCCTGGGCAGGTTGGGGCTGTCGGGCCCCTATCGGCGATCAACAGGCGATTGGGGGTCGATGCACATCCCCCCATGTGCCCATCCCCACCCTACAGTGGAGGCTAGTCCACAAGAAACCTTCCACAAGAAACCCAACCCTGGGACCCCAGGACGCCCACTGGTCTTTGGCGCGGGGGCGCCGCGCTCTCCGCCGCAAAACCTGCGAGGCCCAAGAAACCCGGGGCACCCTGGAGGCAAGCAGGGTGCTTCTTGGCACGGGCCCACACTGCATCGCTGCCCCTGAGGAGGACGGAGGAACACGAGGTGAGAGCGAGAGGGCGCCCGGGAAAAGACCGCACGACCCCACACAGGGCGCGCTGGCCACGGGGCGCGACCCCCCAAAAGGGAGAGCCCATGCGCGCGCGCTTCGGCCGCAGGGCAGCGCGGAGCGCCCCCCGATGGGCGCCAGGGGCGCGGCCCCCAGCTGCGCCCACAGCGAGGGGGCCCACAGAGGGGGGCGTTCACTCAATGCGTGCCCCTGCTTCTTGCACCTGCTCGCACCCCCTCCTCTCCGCAGCTTTGAGTGGAGCAGGCCCGAGCCCGACGAGGGCGACGGTGCCATCTGATGTTGCAGGCACAGCGCCGGAGAGAGCATCCATCTCAGGGCGGGGCTCGGGCAGGGAAGGCCCGGGCGAAGCCCCGAATGTTGATCGCACGCTGTCCTGGCCCTAGGGTTTGCAGACAGTCGGGCGGCGTGCCCTCTGGCGGATTTCGTGATCGCACGCGAAAAAAAGCGTTCAACGCAAGGACTGGTCACACAGGGAACAGTGGCAACGTCGACGAAGGGCACGGGCGACTCCAAGCCAGAATAGCTGCCACGTCAAATCGAAGCAGTGCCAGCAGCAACCAGTGTTCCTCTGCTCTGGCGCCTTCGCCGACGAGACGCCCACGCTCGCTGTGTCCTTCTTGTCGGTTTGTTGGAGACCCGAATCGTACGCTCTCCGCTGTCACTTCAAACCCCAAGACCCCATGGGGTGGGTGGGGCAGACGCAGCATCCGCAATTGACGAACGCCTGCAGGAAGGGTCACCGTACCGCCCCCTCAGTGACCCCTTCTCCCCCACCTCCCTAGGAGGGAGGAGCATATAGCAGGGGGGAGACGAGGAGGTGGAACCCCTCGGGGGCTGGCATGGCATGATCTCCCATCAGCGTTGTTTTGATCGCAAGAAGTGGGAAGGGCACTGCAACCAAGGTTCAACCTCAGAATGTTCATGTTCAAGTAGTGGGAACGAAGTGTTGCTGGACTGGGAAACAATAGAACGGCAGAGGTACGGTTGTAGAGAAGACGGCCGAACAGAGCAGACAGTTACAAAGAAATAGTGCACGATGAAAGGGCAAAGGATGATCGAGAGGACGAAAGAGGAGGTTAGGTTATCACGGAGACAACAAGGGGATGGGGACGGATCGGCGTTATTTCTCCCGTCGAAGACACCGATGGCATTGGCATCTGCGTGTGCGCAAGATCTGGCCAGATAGGGTAGGTGGTGCAGCGCGGCAATGGTAACTCTGCAATACCTGCCCCCATGTTCAAACATATCACACATAGCCGATCAGACGCGGAAACTGATTTGCGAAACTACGCATTCCGACTTTGTAGGCGATACAATGCACCGATTGTTAGACACTACACACTTGATGCGAATTCAGGTGCGGTCGTCCAATACTGTGGGTGGTCGTATAGGTCGCCATTTGGTGCGCGGACTCATCATGGTGAACTGAAGTGGGGAGGACGAGGAGGAGCAGCAGCAAGATCGAATTTGACGAGGACGAGGAGTGAGGACGACGAGGAGGGGCAGTGAGGACGACGAGAAGGAGGGGCAAGAGTAACGAGGAAGACGAGATAAACGACAGCGACGACGACGACGACGATGACGGAGACGACGAGGCGGTTCAGACCGCGGACTGGCGCCTGGAACTTTCCACTGCAAAAGCTCGGCCGCGTCGTCAGCGATCCGCGTGACACGCCTGCTCCCACGGATGTGGGAAGATGAGAAAGACAAGGGAGGAGAGAGAAGGAATAGCAGTCCCCACCCTCCTCCTCCTCCTCCACCTCCTCCTCCACTTTCTCCGACGCCCGACTCCTCCACCTCCACCTCCACCTCCGTGACCTCCTCTGCCTCCTGGGATCTCGGGAAACCTAGAGAGGAGGAGGAGGAGGAGGAGAAGAAGGCAATGGAGGAGGAGGAGGAGGAGGAGGAGGAGGAGGACGAGGAGGGGGACGACGAGGAGGGGGAGGAGGAGGAGGAGGAGGAGGAGGAGGAGGAGGAGGAGGAGGAGGAGGAGGAGGAGGAGGAGGAGGAGGATGGGACTCGTCATCCTCCACGAACTGCCCTCGTCATCCTCCTTCTCTTGCTGCTGGCGGCTCGCGGCAAAAAATCGCTCGGTCGGCAACGGACCACAACCATCACCACGGTGCCAGGGACCCACCTGCTGGCCGGGCCACCGCGCTGGCCAAGTGGCCCACAGTGTCGTTGCGGCTCTGGTGAGGGAAGAAGACAAAGAAGCTCAAAGGAGGCCCCCCGAGGGGGCAGGACACAAAGCCCGGCTCACCAGCAGGCGAGCTGGCTCACTGGCGGTGGACGGGAAGCGGGAGGCAGCCGTGACAGCGGGCCGCTCCTGGTGGCTGCTGCGCGAGGTGTGGCGAGCAAGCTCCACGCAAGGCGGCCTGGATGCGGGGGTGGCCCCAAGGGCTGCCGGGGCGTCGATGTGTACGCTGGGGGAAAATTGGGAGGGAATCGGGACATGCAAAAGGCCTTTTCTCGGCGGTGGCCAGGATTCCTTTTAGCAAACCACCCTTGAGTGAAAACGGCCCAGGACCGAAGCCGACGGACCTGGACCCGCAAAAGTGACGGCCGCGACGCCCTCTCGCGAACCAAAAACGGCCAATTCGCTAATCCACGCGTCAGGGTAAGAGGTCGATCAACCTCCGATTTACTGGGGGCTCACGTGCGAGATACGTCTGGACAGTCCGCCCCGCGCAGGAGGCTCCGATGCGAATACGGCCCCCCACAATCCCAAGCCCCCTTTCCGTACCCCCCCCACCAAGCCCAGTCCCGCTTTTCCTCCGACCCGATGACGGGGGGGGGGCTGGTCTCCAGAGAACCTTTGACGAAGTAAAGATCATATCACTCAAGAACAAAGGCCATGCACCAACCCATGACGCGGCGCCTGGGCACTACTGTCGTCACCGAGGCAGGTTTCCGGCAGGGCGCGCGGGCAAATGAGTGCACTGTCGGCACCTCTTCGGGCAAAACCAATTTCGCGTTTCACGGGCACTTGGCTTGAAAACGTCTGCCCCACCCCATCCCCCCGAACCAAACCGAGGAGGGGGGCGGGCACCCAAAAATGGGCACCCCCCCCAAAAAAAAACCCTCCTCTCGAAGGGAACACGGGAAGGAAGGGCCTTGCCCCCCTCCCCCTTTCCCCTTTGGAAGGGCGCCGAAAAGAAAGGGGGGGGCCCCTCCTACCGGCAGCGACGACGACGACGACGACGACGACGACGACGATTGCGACGGCGCCGGCGCCGGCGCCGGCGCCGGCGACGGCGACGACGACGACGACGACCACGACAACGACGAGCTAGTGGACCGGTCAGGCGGGCGGGACATAACATGCAACCTGCATTCTCTGTTAAGCGCCAATGATGCTGGTCGGGCGGGCGGACCACCAAATGAAACTAGAACCACGCACGCGCTACGCGCGCGATTAGGTTCCACCCCTTTTTCTCCCCCTGAAGCTCCTCCACTCCGTCTTCTCTCAAATGCCCTCAAAATACCCTTCTCCTCCCCTATACTCCTCATCCCCCTTTCCTGACCTCCGTTCACCCTCCCCTTCGCCCTTGCCCCTCCCCCATCTGGGAAGGGCCAAACAAACTGGATCCTGCACCGCAGGCCTCTTCGTCCATTGGCCGACCGAAACCCCTTACGGCACATACTTGGTTACAAACAGCACAGAACTGCCAGAATGTTCCACACTCACCGACATTGTTTTCACTCACCGACATTGTTTTCCAGCAGCGCGTGCAAGGAACAAACGACCGCCTGCGTGAATGGCATCATGCTTCAACTCGATCAGCCACGCGAGACGGCGCCGCACCGGTCGCGAAAAGACTTGTCGATAAAACCGAACTCATTACATGGCATCATGGTGTACAAGCATATGTCGAACGACACGCTGCTGACGCCTAGACATGAGCACAAGCGGCCGTTCCAAAGTGTTGACTGAAGATACTTGCGTCAATAATGAAGCAAACGGATCGGAGGACGACGAGGAGCTGATGCAGAGACATGGAGAAACTGAAGGGCACAGGACACTGAGCAGCCCCAGGATTCTGCGCCCGATTCCAGGTGCGAACAAAAACTGCGAAAGCCCTACTGGGGCGTCTCAAGTTCCTCCTGAGCGCTTTTGAAGCAGTCTCTTGGGCCGTCATGGCGCCCCCGTCTTCGGCCATCTTGGGCCCTCTGGGCCGACCTGGGCACCCCTTAGCGTCGTCTCGCAGCCGTCTTGAGCCCATGCTGGGCAGTTGGGCCGGGATGAACCTCGATGGGGACCATGTCGGGGCATCTTCGAGTCCTTCTGGGCCTTCGTTGGCTGCGTTGTTGGCGCCCTTTTCTGGGGCCGCTTCGCCGTAATATTGGCTGGCTCCTTGGCCATATTTGAGGTTTCCAAGACACAGAACACGAGCACGCTAAAATCAATGAAACACCACTGGGAGTCAATGATGCTCTCCCTGAGCTAGGCGAGCTCCGCTTCCATGGCGCGCTCGATGGTCTTGGCATGCTGCGTCGGCGACTCTTCTGCTTGCTCCTCAGGTTGAGCCACTCGGCCTTCAGGCTGGAGGCACCCGGCCTGAGCTTGCACTCCGCGTGGCTGTGTTGCTTGTTCCCTTGGCACACGAAGCACACGTAGTTACGCGGGCGCGAGGGCCCGGGATCCTGTCAACGAACTTCTTCGGGGGCTCGCCCCACACGGCCTCGGCAACGTGCTCACGCGCGACGATCAAGCTGAGGCTGGGGAAGCATGGCGTCTCGCCGTCCTCATAAGGCTGGACGACGTAAGAATCCACGCCGCACTCGTCCTTGCAACAATGCACGTGGCCGGATTGTGCGCGATGACGTGACCGCACGGGAACCTGGCCGTACCGTCGGCCTCCCTGACCACCAGAGTAAGCTTCGCTTCGGGCCTGACTTTCGCGGCCACGTGCTCTTCGCGGATGTTTTGCCACTCCTCGCCGCCTGGCTCCGAGCTTGGCGACAGGGGAGATCTGCTCACCCGACGGCCAGGCCCCCGTCCCCAGGACCCGCACGGAGCGTTGCCAGTCGCCCTCGCCCGTCCTCCGAAACCTTCCGCATCGGCCCCATCTGCCTTCCTCCTTCCTCCCAACAACTGGCGTCACTGGCGCCATGGAGACACTCGCCCCGTATCCGCCACAGCGCGGCGCCGAAGAGGCAAGCCCAAGGGCCAGCTGCAGCGCCCAGCCAACATTCTGAAACGGCCGAGCGCTTGAGCCCAAATGGCCACAGACGTAGCGCATGGAAGAGGGTACACTTTGTTTGTTGGCGCACGGGGGGAACATATTCAAATGAACGATGGGGCAGAATCACATGTCAATTGTACTACCCCTGGGGGAGACGAAAATTCCAGAGTGGCGGCGCATCCTCGTTTCTTTCATATGCAACCTGCGTGGTTCAATCCATGTGCTGCAATCCGTTCTGCGGCGACTGGGCGGCGACGGCGGCAACAAGGCGGCGGAGCTGTCAAACGAGCCCAGACAGCGAGCGGCGACGAGGCGGCGACGGGGCGGCGACGGCGGCAACAAGGCCGCAGACCCGACAAACAAGCTCAGTCCCCCAGGAGACAGGAAGGACTTCTCGCTCACCGCGAGCACACCAACACGTCGCACCTGTGATCGGAACGAAGGGGCCGAACGGTTATTCGTGATCCCTGGGCGCGTGGCTGAGATGAGATTCCACAGCGCGGAGTCCGCTTGCTTGTGATGTTCGCTACTTGTTGTTTCTTGTTGGTGGTGTTGTCGTCGTCCTCGACCGCGAACAACCCCGCGACACACCCGCGAGCCGCGACCCATCCGCGACCCACGCCAGGCCAACCGCCTCGCCCTTGTCCGCAAGTTCGGGGCGGCACGTCCTACATGGGCTGGCAGAACAAGCGAAACGATAGAAAGAACTCCACGAGCCTCGAGAACCCAGCGAGGTCCTCGTTCTCACCATCCCCTCCTCCTCCTCCTCCTCCTCCTGCCCCTCCCACTCCCCCTCCCCCCCCCCTCCCCTTCCCCCTCCTCCCCCTCCCCCCTCCTCCCTCCTCCTCCTCCTCCTCCTCCTCCTCCTCCTCCTCCTCCTCCTCCTACTCCTCCTCCAGTTCCCCCTCGTCCTCCTCCTCATTCTCCTCCTCCTCCTCTTCTTAGTCTTAGTCGTCGTAGTATTGCTCTTCTTAGTATTAGTCGTAGTATGATTCGTATTATCATTAGTTTGATTCTTGGTAGCGTGTTTATTATTATTGTTAGTATTAGTATTACGCTTCTTTTTCGGATGCTTCTTCATACCATCATTATTAGTATTAGTGGTAGTATTATTGTATTCGTCTTACTGGTATGATAAGTATTAATACGATTAGCCGTATTAGCATTGTGTTTAGCATTCGCATTCTTAGTATTAGTAGTGCTCGTAGTAACAGTAGGATTAGTTTTCGCCTTATTCCTAAAAACTAATATCCCTAGTAAGTATTACTAGTATTATTAGTAGTACCAGTGTTACTCGTATTCTTCGTATGTTTATTCTTATTAGTAGTAGCATTACTCTTACTATCGTTTTCGTCGTATCCGTCTTATTCGTAGTATCCTTATGATTACTAGTCTTATTCATAGTAGTGTTAGTAATATTCGTATTACCATGCATTATTAGTAAATTTCATAGAACCATTATTCGCATTCGTATTCTTATTAGTAATAGTACTCCTCTTATTCCTCCTCCTCCTTCTCCTCCTCATCATCCTCCTCCTCCTCCTCATCATCATCATCATCATCATCATCACCATCAGCAGCAGCATCAGCATCAGCATCAGCATCAGCATCAGCATCATCATCATCATCATCATCATCATCATCATCATCATCATCATCATCATCATCATCGTCATCATCATCATCATCATCATCAGTATTCTCGCTCGCCACGAGCACACCGACACGTAGCACCAGTACTCCTACGTGGCGGGCTCGAGAGCCCCTGAGACAAAAAAAGCGTGCCATCTCTTGGGGGCGCACGTGCTACAGCGGAAACCAGTCCACGAGAAACCTTCCACGAGAAACCCAACCCCGAGACCCCAGGACGTCCGTCGTTTTTGTTTTGCCTGGGAGAGCCACGCCCTCCACTGTAGAACCCTCGACACCCAAGAAACCCAAGGCACCCTGGATGAAGGGGCCCAGGGACACACACATAAATAGGCACAAATAACGGGATCCCCCCTATTGTCCCATATGTTCTCCGGGTGTTCGTCTGCCCCCCCAGGCCCCATACAGTGAAAACGTATAGTAAGGACGCGTGGAAAGGACGCAAGACCCTTGGAGGCCGAAGTTGAAGTATTCTGGCCAGCGAAAATTGCTGGGGACGGGCCGCAGAGTCTGAGGCAGGCAAGGACCCAAGGGCACCCTTGAAAAAGTCGTTTGTCCTTACTATGCGCGTTGACTGTAGTTTCCCACATGTCATGGGGAATCGACGATGAGTTGTGCCCGTGTGCTTCTTCCCCCTCCTGAGCTTCTTGGCACGGATGCCCACTGCACCTCCGCCCCCCTCCGCCGCGCCTCCACCGAGCCTCCGCCACCCGCGCGCCGCTTGCCCGCGGCCCTCCGCGGGCCTCCCGCCGCCCTCCCGCCGAGGCAGCGGCGGCACTGGGCCGGGCGCGTCCCCCCGAAGGCGCCTCCTGGACGGAAGAACGAAAAAATAGTTGTACGCCCGAAATATTTGGACGAAAGAAACAAAATATTTGGGCGCCCGAAATATTTGGACGAAAGAAACAAAGAAACAAAAGATTTGGACGAAAGAAACGAAACAAAAAATATTTGGACGCCCGAAACTGGCCATCCCTCGGACGTCCATTCCCTGTGCTTTTTTCGGGGTTCGTGTGTGGCTTTTTCGCCAAGTGATCCAGGATGCTCCTCGATGGTCCTCGCCGAGAAAGAAACGCACACGTCCGAGCGATGCCAAGAAAATGGGCACGGAAAAAATTGGGACAATGCCCAACAACAAATGTTGTCCCAAACCAACAGCGGCCGCTGTTGGGCAGGCGGCCTTCTGTCTCGCATGGACACAGGCCGCGGCGGCGTGGGCAACGAGCCCTTTTCAAAATGAACAGGAACTGCTGCTGGGCATTGTACCCATTCTTTCCGTACCCATCTCGTCCGTGCCGAAAATAATCAAGAACATACCAAAATTCAGAAAAAAATGCAGACAAGTCGAATATCGCAAAGAAAAAACGACAATCGACAATCGACAATATCACGAAAAGATCGGCAATCGACAAAAATGATCGACGACTCGACATTAAACAAAAATGAAGAAACAAAAAACAAAAATAAATATAAAAAAAAAAAAAAAAAAAAAAAAAAAAAAAAAAAAAAAAAAAACAACAACAACAACAACAACAACAACAACAACAACAACAACAACAATAACAACAAAAACGATGTATCGGGAAACAAATCTGCATATCGTTCCCAAGGAAGGCTCGGAAGTCCACCATCCTTCCAAGAGGCCGTCTGAGCTCTCCGCGAAGACACAAAAAACTTCTGAGGAGGCGCGAGGGCTTCTCAGAAGTCCCGCCGCCTTCTAAGAGGGATTTCTCCTTCTCTCATTCCCCCCCTCGCCCGCCGCCGAAGAACTCACCGAGGGACGACGACGACGACGACGACGACGACGACGACGACGACGACGACGACGGTGGCGGCGGCGGCGGCGGCGACGACGACGGCAGCGACGACGACGGCAGCGACGACGACGGAAGTGCGTCGACGACGACGTTGACGTTGACGACGACGACAACGACGACGACGACGAGGACGACGGCAGCGACGACAACACGACGATATTCAAGGACTTAGCGGGCCCTGGAAACGACAAGGCCGTGGTTTACCGTTTCGTAGTTTCATTGCCGGTTTCGTCGCCGCGTTTCTGCCGGTTCCGTCGCCGTGTTTTTTCCATTTCCGGTTCCGGCTTCGATCCCGCAGCCGTTGTCGGTCGCCGCTGTCGGTCGCCGTTGCTTCACCGCTGCCACTTTCGAGAGACGCTTGTTCGAACAATTTGTTCTAACACAGAAAAACGGCCCTGCCGCTCCCAAGGCCCACTAAGTCCTGGATCATGGTCGTCGTCGCTGTCGTCGTCGTCGTCGCCAACGCCAACGCCAACGTCAACGCCAACGCCAACGTCGTCGTCGCCGCCGTCGTCGGCACGATGCTTTTCGATGGCCCTCGCCGAGAAGAACGCGCGCGCGTCCGAGCGATGCCGCGCGTACGGACTGGCGGGGCGGGCGGGGCGATCCGAGAACTCCCTGAGGTTTGCGCAGGGACGAACCGTCCTGGCATTCCTACAGTCCTACCACGACATGTTCATTCGAACCCAAGGATGCTCGGAGAACAAAAACAGGGAATGGGCAACACACACGCTCTGGCGATGATGTTTTGGTGCTCGGCCAAGACTCTGCTACCTTGGCTGTATCCTTGCTTGCTCAGCGAGTTCGAGCAAAAACACTATTATGTAGAGATGCGCTGCCTGCCGTCAACGTTGTGGCACGGATGTTCTGAGAACAAAGACAGTGTTCTCAGAACCTAAACCCGCTCTGACAAAACAGGACAGACCCCGCCAGAGATGCTCTGAGAGCACTTCGTGGACACACTGTTCGGTAGGGCGATTGGCAAGCCAGGAAGCTTCGCCACTGCTTGAGATTTGGACGCCCGAAATGGGTACGGAAAGAATGGAAACTATGCCCAACAGCAAATGTTGTCCCAAACCAACAGCGGCCGCTGTTGGGCAGGCGGCCTTCTGTCTCGCATGGACACAGGCCGCGGCGGCGTGGACAGCGAGTCCTGTTCAAAATGAACCAGATCCGCTGTTGGGCATTGTACCCATTCTTTCCGTACCCATCACGTCCGTGCCGAAAATAATCAAGAAAATACTAAAATTCAGATAAAATACCGACAAGACGAATATCGCAAAGAAAAAAAACGACAATCGACTATCGACAATATCACGAAAAGATCGGCAATCGACAAAAAGGATCGACGACTCGACATTAAACAAAAATGAAGACACTAAAAAACGATGTATCGGGAAACAAATCTGCATACCGTTCCCAAGAAAGGCTCGGAAGTCCACCATCCTTCCAAGAGGCCGTCGGCGCTCTCCGCGAAGACACAAAAAACTTCTGAGGAGGCGCGAGGGCTTCTCAGAAGACCCGCCGCCTTCTAAGAGGGATGTTTCTCCTTCTCGCTTCCACCCCTCGCCCGCCGCCGAAGAACTCACCGAGGGACGACGACGACGACGACGACGACGACGACGACGACGACGGTGGCGGCGGCGGCGGCGGTGGCGGCGACGATATCACAAAAAGATCGGCAATCGACAAAAAGGACCGACAATTCGACATCAAACAAAAACGAAGAAACAAAAAACAAAAAACAAAAACACACACACACAAACAACTAGTTCTCGGGAGAGAAATCTGCAGATCCTTCCCAGGGAGGTGGCGGCGGCGGGCCGCCCGCTGCCGCCCCCGCCGCCCCCCCCCGCGCGGCCCGCCGCCGAAGAACTCACCGAGGGACGACGACGACGACGACGACGACGACGACGACGACGACGACGACGACGACGGCGGCTCCGAGGGCCTGCGGCGCGGCCCTCCGCCTCGCCGCCGCCCGCCTCGCAGCCGCCCGCGGCGGCCTCCTCGCGACGACGACGACGACGACGACGACGACGACGACGGCGACGGCGACGGCGACGGCGACGGCGACAACGAGACGACGACGACGCGGCCTCCTCGCTCACGACGACGACGACGACGACGACGACGACGACGACGGCGACGGCGACGGCGACGGCGACGGCGGCGGTCTCGGCGCGGGCGCAGCCAGGGGCCCCGGCCTCCAAGACGCGCCTGGCAGCCAGGGAGCTGCGCTCGGTCGCGCGGTCCCCCTCCCTGGGCCTCGACCCCTCTGCTGCACGATTCGCGATCACGCCTGGGACCAGCCCCCCCTCCTCCTCCTCCTCCTCCTCCTCCTCCTCCTCTTCCTCCTCCTACTCCTCCTCCGCCTCCTGATCCTCCTCCTCCGCCTCATCCTCCTCATCCTCTTCATACTCCCTGTCCCCATCCTCCTCCTCCTCCTCATCATCATCATCCGTTTTTCCCCCCCCCTTCCCCCCCTCCTGGCTGAGCGTCGCTGAGTGGGAGGGCGATAATTTGGGGGGGGGGAGTCGGTGCACCCCTCGGGCCACTGAAGGCGCCCTTTCGGGGTTCAAACGGGCCCCTTTGGCAGCCACAAGGGGCCCCTTGTCTGCGGCCATCGCCGCCCCCCCCAGCGATCGCCCCCCATTACGCGACGCCCCTCTGTCTACATCACGATTCGCGCTGGCGCCGTCTGGGAACGAGCCACACCGAAGCATTCCCGGACTGCGTCGGCGCGAATCGTGACGATGTGTGTTTGTGATGTCCACTCTTTTTTGGGTCTCCGCGTCGGCCCCTTGGACACGGTATAACTATGACGTATAACGAGAAACGTGCTCGCATTCAAAGAGAGGCCCTCGGCAGCACGTCTGTCATTGGCCGACAGATCGGGAACCCGAACTCAAATTCAAAAAGTGACAATTGCATTACATGCCCTCTGCCCAGCCGGCGATGGGCATTAAATGGCGTCTGGCCAGCCGGCGACAGGAAAAACAAGGTGGAAAGCTGAAATATACGATCACGTGCAGAGACGATCGCCTGAACATTGTGTTCCCCATTATGCGGGATACCTGTGGGCTGGGTCAACTACCGCAGCGCACAGCGCAACCAACGCGAGGGAAAAACAGGGTGGAAAGCTGAAATATACGATCACGTGCAGAGACGATCGCCTGAACATTGTGTTCCCCATCATGCGGGATACCTGTGGGCTGGGTCAACTACCGCAGCGCACAGCGCAACCAACGCGAGGGAAAAACAAGGTGGAAAGCTGAAATATACGATCACGTGCAGAGACGATCGCCTGAACATTGTGTTCCCCATCATGCGGGATACCTGTGGGCTGGGTCATCTACCGCAGCGCACAGCGCAACCAACGCGGAGGAAAAAATTGATCGATAGGCAACGCAGGCTAACAATCGGTGCCGATCCCCTCAGCAATCGTCAGAGAGCTGCACGCGAAGGCCTGGAGCACAGAGTGGCGTGAAATGGATCAATACCAAAGCGTAGCACAGCAACCGAAGAAGGAAGGAGATGAGAACGCGGGAATCCTGAGCCAAGAGAAGAGCGCTGGCACTTGTCCTGCTACTGCCGAAGGGACTCTCAGCTCAGACCATCACGATCAATAAACGTGCGACCAGGGTGTAAACCCATGGAGCATGATTAGATTGAACAACCGAGCTTCGGGATTTCAAACAAGGTGCACGTGCTGCACGCTAGCACACGGAGCACATGCGGTCAAGGGAAAGAGCGCGCAACTATTCGAAATCCTAACCAGAACTAACAATACTAATAGTACTCCATTATGAGCGCTCTTGTTCCTCCATGTGGGAAGTCTTCTAGCGTTTTGCAAGGAGGCGGCGAGGAGGGAGAGAGAGAGAGAGAGAGAACGAAAGAAAGGAAGAATAGGATAATACATGCTTCTGGCACAAAGGGTCTGAAACGGCCGCTTGGATACGGTACAACAATAATGCGAGTTCCGTGCTCGCAGGAGAGGAACTCGGCAACACGTCTGTCACTAGCCGACAGAACGGGAGCTCGAGCTCGGATTCAAGAGGCGATGTTTCCGACTCCGACGGGTGGAGGCCACGAATGGTTCCGAGCGTTTCCTCATCCGACCACCTGTCCTCCCCTTCGGGATCCTCATACTTCTCCCCCTCCCCCTCCCTCCCCGCACCTCAATCATAATTTATAATTCACGACACGCTGGAAAAGTCAGGCCCGCGATCTGTATTGACAGTAATCTGGGCGTCCGTCGCAGCTCTGCAGCGAGCTCCTGGAAAAAAACGCCTCGGTAACGCTGGAGCCGCGATCGCGGGCCCGCGAATGCGCAGTCTGAAAGCCAGCTGGGCCGTTGGGGAGAAGCAAGGAGGAGGGGGGGAGGAGAAAGAGGGGGAGGAGGAGGGGGAGGAGGAGGAGGAGGGTATGCGTCCTGAATCCGCCAGGAAATCAGATAATGGATACATGCAATACCCTGCCGGAACTTTGGACGCCCGAAATGGGTACGGAAAAAATGGGTACAATGCCCAACAGCAAATGTTGTCCCAAACCGACAGCGGCCGCTGTTGGGCAGGCGGCCTCCCGTCTCGAATGGAAACAGGCCGCGGCGGCGCGGACAGCGAGTCCTGTTCAAAATGAACAGGAACCGTTGTTGTGCATTGTAAGAGTACCCATTCTTTCGGTGCCCATCTCGTTCGTGCAGATGAACGAGGCAAGCACCCCCGTCACGGACGAGGCCAGGAGCCAGAGAAGGTGAGACGGCATCGCCCCGCTTTCGTGCTTCCTGCAACGCGGCGAATCTGGGGGCACTCCTGCGCCCCAGCTTCTTGAAACAGAGTGCGCGCGCACCCTGGCTGCGCGAGGCAGTCGGCACTGCTGCGCTGGGCCCCGAGGGGGTGTTGAAACTGTGGTCAGCGTAGGCTACGGACGCGTTGCACGTCCGCCACCGCTGCACTCGGTCGCCGCCACCGCGCCGAGGCGGGAAAGGCCCTTGGCTCAGATCGAGGCTGCGCGCTGCGTGCTGCAGTGATTGTGTCGACAACGGTGCAGACGCCCACACACGCCGTGCGCACCGGTAGCGGCAGCGCGCGGTGAGAACTGCAGGCCGGCAAGGTCTCCATGCGCCCCGCCCCGCTGCCGAGGCGTCGATGCCCCCGCTCCGTCTGCAAGGAGAACCTACCGTCCGCCACGAGTCAGTCGGTCAGTCGGGAGGGAGAGGAGGAGGACGGCCACCACGCCATGTCACAGGCTGACGATGACGGTCGGCTTGGTGACGTCGATGGGCTCTGAATTGTCACCGCAGCCGCCGACGCCAGGGGCATCCGGCAGAAACAAGATCACCTGCCTGATCGGCGACTTGGTGGTGTTCTGCTTGTCCTTCCGAGAGGTCTCCGAGCTCGAGAACAGGCAGCTGAAGATGGAGGAGGCCTGCATCCCTGGCATCGCGCCTGGTAGGGTAATCGGTGCAATTACCTGCGCTCGCGAGGGGAACCTGAGGGGAGCGGCTTGAGTCGAAATGGCTACGGAAGCCGTTTGGGGGGCCTCTTTGGCGCCTCGTGGAGCCTCTTGGGGGCCTCTGGGGGGCCTCTGGAGCTCTGTTGGGGGCCTCTTGGGGCATCCTGGGGGCTTTTTGGGGCGGAAGGCTCGAATTGTCAGTTCGTGCTCCCCCTATAGGACCCCTCTTGGGGCCGCCTTTGGGCCCTCTTGGGCGATCTTAAGCACCTCTTGGGCCGTCTTGGGGCATTATTGGACCGTCTTGGGACTCTGCCGTCGTCGCGCCCTCTTTGGGTGCCTCTTGGGCCGTCTTGAGCTGATTTCTGGGGCCTCGTGGGCTGTCTGGGACCGTCGGAAGCACAAAACAGCGAGAACACCAATAACCTATAACCTACTTTTGTTCGCCTCCTGAGTGCCTCATGGGAGTCCTTTGGAGGGCACCCTGGCCGTCTTGAAGCCCTCTTGGGCTGTCGTGGGCTCTCTTCTGTTTTCAGTTCCACGAATATGTTCAGTCCCCTGAGGGGGCGCAACTGCCTCGACCTGCTCGTTGGCAGAGCGCCAAGCAAACATTCTCCTACAGGCGCGGCGACCAACAAGGAGTCCAGCACCTGTCCAGTGAGATGCATGCGTCGTGCTCTGAGCAATGACGGCTGTCGGCTCATTGAGCCCGCGCCGCTGAGGGACAACCAAGTCTTGTCTCCCGATGGCGAGGCCTTGTTTCAAAGATCTGTATACCATATGCATAAACTTGCACGTGGGTGTTGCGCTCCAAGAGAGCCCAAGACCTTTGGCGGTCTTGGGCTCTTTTGGAGCGCTCTTGGGCCATCGTGGCGCCCTCTTGGACGTACCTCGGGTCCCCTTCCCCTCCTTTGACCCGTTCTGGCACCCCCGCTGGGTCCAAAACGGCCGGAAGAGAAATCTGTGCATTCTGGGGCCCCCGGACCCCGCTCCCCATTTGTAATGAACTGTATATATATATATACATAAATATATATATATATATATATATAAAAGAACCATCACGCGCGCTTCGCGCGCGCTTAGGTTCTGGCTGGTCGACTGCTGACCGCATTGAGACAACAAGGCGGTCATGAATAATGATAATGAGGTCAACATTCTCTGTTTCCTCCCGCATATTCCTCTTTTCTCCTCCTCCGCTCTCATCGACCGGTCGACCGGTGGTCTGTCGCCAAACTATGGGCCAGGAGCGCGGCACTCGAGTGTCGGGAGTGCGACACCTGAGCCAATTGCGGGAAATTCCCACGCAAGAGCGCCATTCAAGTAAATTGCGAGCAAGTCTCCAGCGAGAGCGCGACTCCAGAGCGCCGAGGGAGCGACCCCTTAAGAAAGTATAAAGAAGTCCCAAGCGAGAGCGCGATTCAAGGAAACCCTAGGCGGGAGCGGGGGTCCTGGCTAAATTGTGACGAAATCTGAGGCGGGGGCCGTTGTTGTTGTAATCCTGTATTCCGGGAGCCAACAACACAGTTCGAGCCCCGTGTCTCTACCTGATAAACAACAAGGTGCGAGCCCAGGAAGAAGCACATCAATTGAAACAACACAATGGTCGCCGGAGGGGGGATCAACAACGCTAGTTCTCAGTAGTGAGAAATCAAAAACACTACCAACAACAAAAACAACACCAACAACAACCGCAACGAAAAACTTTAGACCATAATCACTTCACGGCGCGAGGGGGTCTGGGTCATTGTCCTCGTCAACGTCGTCGTCGTCCTTGCCATCGCCCCCCGTGTCAAGCACCTGAACAGATTCCTCCTCCGCCTTCTCGGCGCCACTCCCCGACCGACAGCTCCGCAACGTCGTCCCATAATCGGTCTCCTCCCTCCTCCCCACCCTTCCTCCACTCCCTCCTTCCTCAATCTCGCCTCATCTATCATCCATCATGGTCCTCCTCATCCGCTACCGTCCGCTCCCCACCCTCCGTGCTCAATGTCCTCCCTCCTCTCCGTTCCCACCCTCGTTCTCCCCCTTACACCCGCCCACGTGCATAGATCCAAGTGCAGCACACACTGCTTGCAAGAAAATGCAAGCGTATGCGTGGTACCTGTTTTTGTAGATTAGCCTGTCCACATGTACCTACATATAGAAAGACGCGCATAATCATGCGCACACAAAGCATACGACAATCGTGCACGAATCGCTACTTACTCTCTCGCCTTCCCCCTGGCTAGTACTGCGCATTGCCATAGTCACTGGCATACTGTATTCCCCTATTCCTGTCTCCTGCTCCTCCTCCTAAACCTCTGCCCCATTATCCTCGTCGAGCTAATCGTCACCGCTACCACCTCCACCACTATCACAATCATCGTCACCAATATCGCTATGAACATGATCGTCATAGTCAACAACATCATCATCAACATCACCACCATCACCACCGACATACCCAGCGTCGTCACAGCAATCACCATCATGTGAATCATCCATCGTGAATCTCCCCTTCCCGCTGTCCTAATCCGCCGACCTTTGTGTCGGCGTGTGGAAGAGGCTTTTCGCTCTGGCCCCCTCTGAGGCTTTCCTGTCTGCTCCCTCTTCGTCGTCGTCGTCGCTCCTTCCCCTTTCCGAGGCCTCCCCTTCAAGTGGCGAATCGAAAGAAAATTGAGCAATGTCGTAATCGCAAAATTGAGCCCCTTTCATCCCTTCCCCGCCGGGAGGGGGAGTCCCCGGAGGGGGCGCGGGGAAGTCCTGGGGGGGGTCCCGGGTCAGATACGACGCCGCCCCCCGGGAACCACGCGGCCCAACAAGACCCCAGGACGAGCCAACAATGTCCCAAGAGACCGTCACGAGACCACGACCTTTCTCCGTCAACATCTGCGGGCACCAACCACCCCCGAGTCTCCCCCCCTCACAACTAACCCCCCTTCCATTCCCCCCCCCCTCCCCTGAACCTCTGCCTCCACCTCCTCCTCCCCGTCCTCCTCACCCTCCTCCAGCTCATGCGGCTCCTCCCCCTGCTCGTCCTACTTCTCCTTCTTCTACCTCGACGTGGTCAGCGTCCTCATCTTCAGGGTCGGCGGCACCGGCCGTGAGGCCTTCGCAATAAACTTCCAAATGCGCAGCCGACTCCCCCATCACAATTTCCTCCTCCTCCTGTCTAACCTGCTCGTCCGGTTCCTCCTGCCATTCCACCGGATCGCCATGACTCGTGCTCATCGCAATCATAGGCCTGGCCCGTGTCATCCCAAACCTCCACGACGTGCTCCTCCTCTTCATCCCCAATCTATCATCCTTCATGCCTCGTCTCGGGGATCTTCTGACCCGGGTCAATCCAGATCAGGGTCAGCAGGAAACCAAAAACTGCACTGCAAGAAAAAAAACTGCAACGCAGGTCTTCGCAAACCCGGGTCAACCAATATGCGCGGCCGCCTCGCGGCCACGAGCGGCTCGCTAACCCGGGTCAGCCAGAGAAGGTATTCGCAGGATCCTGCAGGATCCGGCGCCCTGGCTGACCCCCGTCTGCACTGACCCCCGTCTCGAGGATCCCGATCGTCCCCACCTCCTCCCCTTCTGGCTGCTGGCTCCTCGACGGCCCCCGCCTCGTCGGCCCAACAGCCGCCCGAGAACACGGACGAGGCGTTCGAGGAGCGCCGCCGCGCCAGCGC